GAGGGGTAAGAAACTCGCCATGCGCACGCTGGCGCAAAATGGAGCGAATCCCCAGGCGCGCGATGGCGAGGGTAGGAGCGTACTCGAGGTCGCCGACCGGATGGTGACAACTTCCAAGCAGAACATTCAGTACTCCCACTACGAAGCTTGCCATGCATGGTTGTCGGGGCAGGCAAAGGCTGTGCAGTTTCCCACGATACATCAAGAATGGGAACTTAGAGAGTCATGAGCGTCTGGATCGATGATTCGATACTGTGTCGGGTGATGGGATATGCCGGCTGCATATATAAAAGTCAATCTTTATTGTTTATAGGTTGTTTGATGTTGACGTACAAAGTCTTATGGTGTTAGGTGTTTCCCCTGGACTTGATTAAGCCGAGAGTCATTCGAGGATATATGGATATGGGTGAAGATGATGGCTGAGATTTTTTTTTGGATACCCAGTTGAGGACTGCATAAGCTGCGTAAGCTCGTATACATTTGCACTGGGCTGTTAACCCTTACTTTCATCAACTATTTGGCGATCAAATCAGGCAAGCTCCCCTATTGCCCGATGGGGACATGAGGCTTCATTGTGGCGGTTGCAGGAGCACATATAGGCATAATGTACATACAGAAGAAACAATTTTGAGTCCCATGTCAACCTTTCATGCTCACACGAGTGATCAATACTACACAAGTCCCAAGTTGGGGGGGACGTAGCTGTGTTCGACTCATGCAGGCGGAAGCACTCAAGAATTTGTGCTCGTGGTCTTGCCAACACCGGCGTTGGCCTTGACCTTGGCAGGAACATCGGCAACACCAATGTGGCCAATGAGCGAGGATTTGAAGCCGCCCAGCTTGGACAGAGCATAAGTGCTTGTGAGACTGCTGACAACTCCTGAGTCGCGGGCTCGGTTCCACTCGCAGATGTATCCCAGGGACGAAGTGCAACGAGAGGCCTCGTCTACGGTGTTCACAATGTAAATATTGCCACCATTCGTCAAGGTGGCTGGGGTGACGGGTGTGGTAACGGAGTCGAAGTAGTTGCCCTCGAGCAGGACCCATGTGTTGCCGTCAATATCGAAGGCATGACCTCCTACATTCTGGAAGTAGTTGTTGACGCCGTGGAAGATAATCTCGCTACCGGCCGTCTTCTTGGTGCCCATATGCGGAGAGCGACCCGAGACGTCGTGCAGCCAGTTGCCAGAGAAAGTATAGTAGTCCTTAGCCCCGATCAAGAGGGCGGCCCAGTAGTGCTTACCGTTGCAGCCGGCCGACCATTCGGACTTGCCATCAAACTCGGTGTTGGAGATGGTGACCTTGCCGGCAGCGCCCCAGCCCGAAACGACAAACTGACGGCCTATTAGGGAGATCTTGCAGTGGTCGATCCAGACCTTGTCGGAGCCATCCAGAGTGATGGCGTCACCACCCCAGACGTACTGGGGATTCAAGTTGGTGATGTGTATATTTTGGATGATCACATTGCTCTTGCCACCGCGCACACGGAGTCCTTTGCCAATGATCACACCCTTGGACCCGACACCGACGATGCTTTTGTTGCTGTTGATGTCGATTGGACTCTTGGCTGCGTTGTCGTACGTGCAGTCAATCCACGTTCCGCTGGCGGCATCACAGGTATCCTGAATCCAAGCCTGGCCCTTGGATGTACCACCGGGACACTTGGTCGTACGATTATCACTGCAACACCTGCCATGCGTTGTGCCCTCAGTGTTGCGGAAGTCCCAGGTGCGGTCGATCATGATGGTTCGGGGCGTGCTGTCAGTGAGCCACTCTTTCAGCCTGCATGATGATATTAGTTCTCTGGCCACCTTAGTCTTCATCAGCCTCTTATTCGCACTCACTGAGCGATGCTGGAAGGATACTGGGGCGCGGCCGAGCCACCGCCAGTTGTTCCGGCAGCAAAACCAAAGGCCTTGCCTTGAACCTGAGCAGTAGCCGTGCTCGCCAGAGCGGCGACGACGAAGAAAGGTAAATTCTTCATTGTATCAGACCGAGCAAACCCAAGATCAGGAACTAAACGAGGAGAAGCGGTGAAAAGGCTGGAAGAAGGGGGTAACAAAAGAAGAAGAAAAAAGCGAAAAGACAGAGGGCATATAATATAGAGAGAACCAATTTAAATTAAATCGAGATATCTAATAGCCGGGTTATGATTCCATGGTACTTGGGTGGGGCAGGATGAGGAGGCCTGTCCTGTGATCTTATTGTTCTTTCCTTTATGCCTCTCATGACCCCGCGTTGTTCGTACTTCATCATATCGCTTACATTTTTCATTGTCCAAATATGGATGGGACGGTATCTTGTATACTGCTTCTGCTGCTGTTGCGGCTGCGATATTATGCAAGGGTGTATTTCCACCAGACAGCACTGCTCTCTACCTTCACCGACACAATGAACCCTCCCTGATTCTTTAAATCTTCTGTATAACAGGAAATTCCTGTCCTATACCACTGGTTATGGCACCAACTTTGTAGACTTGAAACAACCGAGCCTAGCCTATGTTTCCTGATCCGGTAGTTTGAACTCAAGCAACCCACAAAGGGCGACCTTTTCGGTCAACTCTCAAGATGCTATGCATCCTGAGCCGGGTGGTCCCCGCTTTTCGTTTGGACAGAAATCGGTGACAAGGGCTGAAGGACTGCGATGCCACTGAGCGGGATAGTCCAAGCACGGGTATTTGGTTTGGAAATCCAAATAAGTCTGAACGGCTCTCTTGGCCATTTTACTCGACACTTATGTGTCCTTGCCATAGAGACTGGAGGGGAGTTTAGGCTAAACATCCCAGGCACGTCTACTACTGTAGCTGGGGGCTTACCCTGCGGCCTTCAAACTTTTGTTGGGCCCGTCATGTCTGCCGTAACAGTCTTCGACTCTAATCTGTATGATGACACTTTAAACATCCAGGAGGCTCGCCAAGGCTTTTCTTAGAACCCCTACGTTGCCAGCCTGACCAAAGCGGAATGCACTGTCGTTGATACCCAGGAAGCTGAAGATATCGTGCCTGTCGGCATTGTCGCCGCGCTGTTAGTCACGCGCACAGAAATCGTCCGATACCTAGTTCTCCCTCTGGCTGAATAGAAATGTTAGTGAGTGTCTGAGGAGATATATCAGTTGCCACCGGGCCTGCTGTTTCTACTTCTTCCTACCGGGAATGCCGCTGCACCGGTTGGGGTGCTACCAGCCGAGACATCATGAATCTCGCATCCAGACTCCAGATGAAGAATAGTATCGAAATTGTCGATCTTCTGCTTTTCAAGGTTACTTGTCTTGAAACAATATCTGCCGCCTACAGAGATGTGCTAATGGCTGACAGGGCTCGTTTGCAACACCCGCCCCCCATCACCTTTAGTACAAGTGTGCTGTGTGGCTAGCCGGCTTCCGTAGACACATGAGACGCCCCAGACAGGTCAGAAAAAACTGCTTTCCCGTTCAGTTCGACAGAGAATCTGGTACTCTGGCCTCTTTAAGCACTTCCTGTAGTGGCGTTCGCGTGGGCAAGCGCCTGGCAAACATTCTTGACCTTCAAGATCCCGCCGTCACTTTGCATGTAGCTCGCGACAGTCGCAAAAAAGAAAAAAAGAAAAAAAGAAAAACCCCCATCAATTATGTTGCATCCCTCGGCCGTTGCTTAGGCTAGATGGCTTTGTGTCTGACCATCATATTCTCAAACGCGTCGATAGAGGCTAGTATGTTTTCAATTGCGTGCGAACAATGGGTATTTGCTTCGCTTTTATTTTGAGGTTGCTGAGACTGAGACTTTTGTTCCCACCGCGGTGCTTCTTTAACAATGCCACGGAAGCGAAAATCAATCTCGAGTGAGGTGGTCCTCACATAATCGAAGATTCTCTGCGACTGAGCTAGCTTTGTCTTGCATAGCATGGTGTCAGACTTTGAGAGGGTTTCAGGCCTATGCCATCTCGAGTGGGCTGCTATTCGAACGACAGTCATCTCAATCAGCGGTTCCCTCCACCAAACGGGGTTGTCCCTGTCTGGTCTCCAGGTGAATCAGGATGCTATTATGGCGAATTTGGAGTCGACAAAGGGCTTGATCGCCGCCGAAACCGTCATGGTGGATTTGGAGAAGCACATTTGCCGTCAAGAATCACATGTAGTATACAAAGCGTGCAATCAGGCTCAAGGAAACAGAATCTCTTTGAAGGAAGCCTTGAGAAGTCGTCACAGGTTCCATCTCGCATCAGCGGCGCTCTCCATGTTTTGTGATCCTGCGAGTTATCTTGGCTATTTATTACCAACTGATGATGCTCGATGAGATGTTAGGCTGCAAGATAATGAGCGAAAATGAGCTCACAAAAGAGAAATGGGTCAGTGAATGCTGGGCATCAGATAGTCCTAAAACCATGTTGATGGAAATGTTTCGAAGTAGAAACTCGCAGGCCTCTCATTAATTTGCTTCTTAGATATTCTGATTCAGCCGCGTTTTCTAATGTTTCGTAATTTGCTGGTGAAGCAACATAGACATGGAATTTTCTTTGAAACATCAACGCTTCCTCTACCACTGGTGTTAGACGATAGTTATCATCTCAACTCATGCGATGGGATCTACTTCTGACTAATGGGTTTCGGGAGTATGTATGAACCAAATGTACCTCTCAAGCAGAAGCCCACGCAATAAACTTGAAGTCCATGACCAAGTCCACGCAGAGACCAGTAGTTACTACCGAGAACGATATGAAATCAAGTCATATGCGTGGATATGTATCAATATGCAACAAACATTGCATTTGACAAGTTCGATAGCTGCCGGATCTTGATTGGACTTGATGATCATCTTCACCCCTCTTCATCACAAAGTCATTCATTGTGCATGTGTCTGCCTCAGCACTGAAGGGTAATCAGGGCGCCGAGTACCAGACTCAAGGTCGTAATCAGATTTAGACATTTTGCGCCTAAAAAGTTCACGTCTAAATGGATGCTGCTTTTACAAACCATTCAGCTTTTCTACTGTAAGCGATCAATTTCAACTAAGCTGTATCAAGCTCCCCATGGATCACACTCAATAGTTTCTCAAAAAGAAATAGGCCATAAATTCGTACCAGGGCTCGCCTGGTGTACTGTCTAGCTCGCTGGTCTAAGTATGATGTCTTGCCTTGTGTCCTCCCATAAACAACCCAAACTCCAATCTAAACTCTTTGGTGGGGGGAATCAAAAGTCAAGTGGCATGCAATCAACTCCTTTTATAATGTCCTGGATGGACGACGTGCTTGAATCGTCACGTCGGCAAATGTAAGAGGCGGTTCCAATGCCCTCAGGACGGAGGAAATGCTCAAGCTCGCGCTGGTGAACCAGCGATGTACCGATCGAAGGGGGTGCCCGAAGGCCAGATATGTTGATATTATTTACTCCTTGTGGAGGGAGCCAGTGACGTAGTTCTCCTCGAGGGCGTCGATGGTAGCAATGTCCTCCTGGGAGAGCTCGAAGTCGAAAGACTCAAAGTTGGACTTAATGCGGTGGGCGGTGAGGGACTTGGGAAGAACGATGTTGCCGCGGGAGGCGTTCCAGTTGAGGAGGATCTGGGCCGGGGTCTTGCCGTACTTCTCAGCAATCTTGCCGACGGTGGGATCTTCAAGCTTGTTGCCGCGAGCGAGAGGGGAATAAGCTTCGACGGCAATTCCGTGCTTGCGGCAGGTGTCGACGAGCTCCTGGCGCTGGCAGAAGGGGTGAACCTCAATCTGGTTGACTGCGGGGACGACAGAAGTCTCCTTCATCAGCTCCTCAATGTGCTGGGAGCTGAAGTTAGAGACACCGATGGAGCGAACCTTGCCCAAGCGTTGGGCAGTCTCAAGGGCTCTCCAAGAGGCAAGTCGCTTCTCCTTGTCGTCGGAGGGGGAGTGGATCAGGTAGAGGTCGAAGTAGTCGAGACCAAACTTCTCCAGAGAGTCGCACAAGGCCTTGAAAGTGGCCTCGTAGCCGTGGTCGGCGTCCCAAAGCTTGGTAGTGACGAAAACCTCAGATCTGGGAGTGCCAGTCTTCTGGAACCACTTCTTCAGGGCGCGGCCACAGGCCTCCTCGTTGGCGTATCTGGCGGCAGAGTCGATGTGTCGGTAGCCGGCGTCGAGAGCGGCAATGACGGCGTCCTCAGTTTCCTGGCCGTTGGGGGCCTTGTAGACGCCAAGGGCGATCTGGGGAATCTCGTTGCCGTCGTTGAGTCTAACAGTCAGACGAGGGGAATCGCAAGGAGAGGCGTATCCGGAGTCCTGGCGGGTAGGCATGGCCTTCTCCTTGCCAATAACGGGCTGACGGGAAGCGAACTGGGTGGCCATTGTGAATGATTCGAGGGTTGATGTGTAGATGCTGGGAGAAAAGGCTATGAATGGGGATATCAGGGTGAAGTGTTCGTTGGTATGTTGGGGCCGTTTGAAGTGATTGATGTGTGAGTGGTGTTTTCAAGTGAGAGAGCAGATGTTGCCGACTTATCTGTTTCCTTTTATCCTTTTCGACGTCTCTCTGTATACTCTCCTATTACCTATCCCGGTCCGATGGCGTCCTCTCCCTTGTCGCTAGTTGCGGACCCGCCGTGGTGAAGAGCCGTCTGCGTTGAGTTGGTGCCCCACCACTTGGATGGGTACCCGTTCTCCAACAAGTGGCCCCATACCGATTCTGAAGGCTGGCACCGTGCTCCTCCTATGGTGGTGAGTAGGTTTTCCATGTGAACGAATGTCGATTCCGAGTCGGTGCTGGCAGTTCCCAGTCGGTATCTGTCCGTCTCTCGTACGGTGCCAAGTTGATGCCCCGTTATCTCTGGGCCCACGACCCGCTGGTGTTGGATCCAATGACGTAGAAGTTCTCCGCCGAAGCTGGGCCGCTGATCCGCCGTAGACCGGATCCAATGACGTGCCGTGTCTCCGCCGAAGCTGGGCCGCTGGGCGGCGTTCGAGTCAGGGTTCTCGATGGAGATACGGTGGCCATTGTCCAGTTGCACTGCTTGCGGCAAGCCTCAGTCCCGGCTGCCGAAAGCCAGCTACCTTACACTGGCTACCGCATACTGAAGTCGACTCATGCTACGTGTACCTAACGGGATAAGCAATGGATCGGGCGAATTGATTCACTTGGACATCGGTGTATGAGCCGAACCACAGGATTTTATCGGATTACTGAGCCTCACTTTATGTGCTCCACAACTTTGACGAATATCAGCTTTCACAGTGGCAAAAATCTTGCAGTGAATACAAAGTTTTACGGACAAGCGCAATTGTGAAGGACAGTGCACAATTGGGAGCCGCTGCGGAAATCCCAACTGCCAAGAGCCACGCCTGGAGAGGTTTCGTTCGGTCAATTATTCCCGGAGACCCATGAAGCGCTGTTTCACTTTCAGCCGCGGCGGAGTGTCATGATTCGTCGGAGGCACCGAATCGGCATAGAGCCAACGCGGCTGAGGAAGAAAATCCAGTTTTCCAAGGAGACGTCAAAAGGCCAGGTACATACAGTGAGTGTCCTGGGTAAGGTGTCGTGAAATGAAAAGCCGCACTAAGCGACAGGCGCGATTTTTCACAATATGACGTCAAGCTGCCACTAGTATCACGGCCGAAGTGGACCAATGTAAAACGCGGTGCAGCTCAAGGCCCATTAGAAATAGACCCTTGAAGCTGGAAAGATCCCGCAGTTATTTTCAGTCTATACGCTGAAGTTGTTCCATGATGAGTGCGTAGTTTGGTGGTACGAGTTGCGGCCTCGACAGCCTGGAATGTAAGGAGTATGCGAGTCGTAAACTCGCCATTTCTAGTATACATGGGCAATGTATCCGTACCCTTCAGTACGGAGGTGCGTGTCAAAAGTTCATGCCCAATATGCCAGGACCAAATCCAGCTAGTGGACCCACTTAATATATATCTAGCTAATCAGAAAGGCAGGATTAATCTACTGTAATTTCTTCTTTACAGGGGCTAAAGCAAAGTAGCCTATAATAACAACAATAATAACAACACTACCTTTTTACCCCTTTAACTATTATAACTTATAGTATATATTAACCCTTCTTTATAGGCAGTTATTCTTGCCCTCTAGAGCTATATTAGAGGTAAATTAGCTAATAAAGTTACTTAAGCCCTAGGGTTATCTAAGTGTATAGTTAATAATATTCTTAACTAAGTAAAAAAGTAGGGCTTTAATCTAACTGCTTCTACTTTTTCTTTATAACCTAAATACATTAATAATGCCCCTTAAGCTAGCTAGCTAAAGAAGGCTACACCTATAGTAGCTAAGCTTATTATCTAGAAGGTTTACTATAATTAATATAGTAAAAAAAAGATATATACTAATATTACTAGTAAGCTCTAAAGTAAGCTAGACATAGATCTTTTAGTAATAATAGTTTACTATATCCTTTAGTAAGCTAGCTTTAGAAAAACTAAACTAATAAAAAAGCCTAGCTTAATAGCTTAGATAAAGTAAAAGAGGCTTTCTTAGTGTCTAGCTTATTACTACTAGTTACTTAAGGATTAGAAGAAGGTTATCTAGTCTAATAAGACCTTAGTAGTCTTAGGCTATTACTATAGTAGCTATTATCTATAGTAATAGGTATATAAAGCCTATATAAAGTTATATATTTATACTTAATAAAAGGGATACTTTAAGTTTATATTCTAAGGCTACTTTATATATAATAAGAAAGGCCTTTTCTACTACTAGTTACCTAAGTTAGTAGTAATATAAAAGGCTACTAATAAAGAGATTATAAAGTTAAATACTAAGCTAAAGCTAGTTAAGTGTCTTAAATAGAAGTTAAAGAAAAAGATTAGCTAGCTTTAGCTTTAGTAGCTCCTTAGCTATAAACTAACTTTTTACTAAAATACTTATACTAGTAAGTTAGTTTATAAGAGTAAAAAAAAAATTAACTAGTATTATTACTAAAAGAAGATTCTTTTACTAAAGCTTTTCTTATTTATTTATAATAAGTGCTTACTTAGTACTTTTGTTTAAGAGAATAAAGCACCTTCTTATAATTACTACTTTATTTACTAGATATATTTAACTTATAATATTAAAAAGCTTTACTAGTGTAGTAATAGCCTTAACCTTAACCTTATTAAGCCTTACTAGCCCTAGATAAAGTAATTTATAATAAGAAAAGGTACCCTAGTTAACTAGGCAGTAGCTAAAAAAGTATAGTAATAGTGCTAGTAGGTATTACCTTAAGAGTAAATCTAGGCCTAGATAAAGAGGCTACTAGCCTATATTAAGGCTATTATTGCTCTTAATGGTAGTAATAAATATAAGGAGGGGCATTATACTAGCAGATATTAATCAGAAGTTCTAGATAGGCATCGTTAAAATATTAGTAGTAAATTTATTTAGGTAGCTACCCCTGCAATTACCCTTGTCAATTGACATAGGGTGGTCTTGGCATATTAGGCATGAACTTTTGACATGCACCTCCGTATTGTAGGTAGATCAGAGTCTGAAACTACGTTCCTGAGTTCTGCAGGGCTTTGGGCCAATCAACTATGGGCTACAGGGTTATGGCCTTTTCGAGGGCCCCAGCGGCAGGGCGCTAGGTATAACAACTTTCCAGACTCCTCAGGATCCCCCCTGATGTCATTGGAGGGTCCTGATGTAGGGCGGAACGGAGGCTAATGGTGATTAAACGGAAGTACCTGTGGCCATGGATGGAGGCATACAGCCTGCAGGACCCCTATCGGGAGGGCTCGGAAGGGCCCCGCTCTTTCCTCAGGCTGGGCAATCAATCAGTGAGTGTAATAGAGAGGGGATTGACTCTACCTGCCATATGGAGTTGCGCCCGCGTTGCCTTATCGGCAGAAGTCCATGTTCCCGATTTTAACAGGTTACAGTCGCCTACAGGTATATGCCAGCTCAGCGAGAGACAAACATGATGATAAGACTTTCTAGGAGTTACCCTGAGACCCTGAGCCCGGCGATCAGCAGCTGAATCAACTCTGAGAAATTTTCACATGTACATTACACCACGCCAGGCTCATATACAGCCTAGCAAGTTGGAAGCGCTTACCAAACTACGGGCAGTGGATCGGCAAGGATACATCAGGATTTTTTCTGGTTCGAGGAAGTACATCATAGTAGGTAGCCGCGCACCAAAAAAGAAAAAAGACAAGAAAAGAAAAGCCGTGCTTCCACAATCCCTGTCCAGAATATCGAGAATGCCGATGAACGTCAATGCCCCCCTTATCTGACACTGAGACAAGGTCCTATCAATGACCCACGCGAGGCTCCAGTTTATCTTTTATCTCAACCAAGGTAGGAATCACTTCTTCCCAGCGTGCCAGCCTGGGTGCACAGGTACTTGTGGATTGAATAGAAACCTAACTGGATAGAACATCTCGTAATGTGGGCTGCGCTAGGATGTCGAGACCCCGTCTCACGGCGAGAGAAACGACCGATAGGGGCGTCACCTCGACGGACAAACAGGCTGGCTATAGGCAGAGAGACGATCCTTAGTGGGGATACCTGCGAGGTGGAAAATGTCGCTCTCGAGCTTCTCGACACGGGGCATGAAGCGAGAAAATCCCAACTATAATCAGTATCATTGGCGGTGTAGTGTGGCATCGGTGAATGGGGCCAAAGCTCCACCACATCGGCATAACATTTATAATGGGTTTGGCCTTAGGGTCTTGGTTGCTATGACCCTTGCCTTCATTGGATGATGGTTTGCTTTCTAAACTTTTCGCTGGATGCCGAATCCTGGTGAGACTGCACTATCGAACTTGGTTTCATGAGGGATTTCGAGTCCATGTCGTAGGCGACCTAGAGTGCTGCGGTAAGATTACGTCTTAATGCATCGAGATCAAGCAATGAGACCGGATTTTGCTCCTCTGAAATGCGAGGCTAGGATAACAAATAAAAGAGATACCCGCCCGAGGCAGCCGAGAATAACAGCGAAACAGGGCAGTGGAATAACTTGGCAGGTAGGGCCATCCCTCTCCATCTAATTAGTGCATATGACAATCGAGAGCGAATGCGCCCGTTGCTGTGACGAGTAGGTAGAGCTGCATGCCGTGCAACCATACCATATAAAAAATGTCATCACCGCCATACCGCGCATGTAGATTTCCAAAGATAACACAAAATCGCATCCGTCAATGCCCAACCCAGCACGAGTCAGATATGGCGTCAGCGAACAAAGCTCAGGGCAAGTGACTGCAGGGAAAGAGGTGCTAATCACTTCAAGTAATGTTACAGCACAGGAGTTATGGATGTTGATCTACATCATGGTCGGCTTTTCTCGGGCACGGGCAGATGAGAGAGGACTAAAAATGCCTCAGGGTCCTGGTGGCCTCTCCAAGAAATCGACATGGAGTTTGAGTTGGATGGTATTGCGACAATTTTGGTAAGTTAATCGGTATCTAAGCGCTGTAGTCGAGTCAAGTGATAGTTAGTGGGATGGCATCAATTGCTACTAAGACACGAAGTTGCAAAAACCTCAACCCCACATTGATGCCGAATGTCACGATAGCCTCAGCCCCAGATCAGGAACACCATATATGTTCGTCATCCCCGCCAACCCCGCGAAAATGCCGATCTAAGCCAGAGAAAGACAAGAGATGGGGCGCTGCGAACCATATGTATTTTGAGCTTCAATTACTGACCGACGGCAGAAACTTGCTTCCGAATGCAATGCTCTCAGTTGGTGCAGTAAAGCAACACGCATTATTTACAAAGTCAACAAGGCTGGTTTCTGTCCGTCTTTCCTTGGAAGTTGTGTTGAAGCGAGTCCTCACATGAGTGAGTAGGGTGAACGATATGACCCCCTAACGCAATACCCGAACTTCGATTTTCGCGTTGAAGTCCATGCCCTCAGACTATGCCCGAGGATACTGTTATGATATTATCTGAGTACGTCTGGAACTTCAACTGTAGCTCTAGGAATCTTTGTGACTTTTATATAGCTCAAACGTGCAACTGTGCTCGCTCTAGAATGTCTTTTAGTCCCAATTTTGAATTCGCCACGGGTTTCAGCGACCGACGATCCATATTTTACTCCACGATGCTTGGATGTCAGATTTTATGGAGAATTGCTGATCGTTACGGTGCGGCTCAATACTCAACATTCCAAGACAAGCTTGAGCAATGATAAGTCTGGTGGGGGGGTGGGGGGGAGAAAAAAGAAGAAAAAGAAAAAGAAAAGAGTCGGACCTACTGATTTTTTGGATACCAAGTGAGTTCTCTTCATTTGCACCGTTCTGCGGCAACCGTACAAGGGGGACTGATTCTTGTCCCGCTTGCAGCTTTTCAAGTTTGCCTCATGCTGAAAACCCCTGTATTTGATGGACTCTTGCTATCAGGCTATTTGAACTGATTTGTTTGACTAGCCTTCTAGCATGGTGAAAGGAATGATTCTGTGTCCCAAAATAAAGGACCTTGTGGTAGGGCATTTGATCCTATTTATCATTGGTTGAACAGACTCTCGTGTGTAATGGTGTTGGCGCGCAACTATGTATGTGCGATACGCATTTTCTCTGCCGAAATGCTGCTGTCGCTGCCATCTTTTGTTGGGGGCTACAAGACTGACTGTTTGTAGTAAGAGGCCGAGGTCGGCGAAAGTGGGGATACCGACCACCGGCCCCGGCTCCGGGGTCGGCAAAGTTCGGGAAGGCTAAGTAGGATACGGAGTCGGGGGCCAGCACTACAACCGGTAGAGTCAGAACTTAGAAGATCGGAACTTTGAATTTCTGTGAACATCGTGCATGGTAGCCGAACTTCATTCAATATTAAACTGAGTTTTGTAAGGCCTGCCAGTAAGAAATCTAAACATAGAACACTTGGTGTGGACCTCAATCCATGGTTCATGCCATGCATAGCCTAAACCACCACTACATCTTTTGATCTCCCACTTTGTGCTGTATCATAGAGGCACTTATACCAAAACAAGGTCAAGACTATGCTGGAAACGTTCTTTGCCCTTAGCGATGCGTTCAGGATGTGCAATAATAAGTATCAATATGCTGACGCTGAACGTTTGAGAAAAGGCACAAGCCAATAGGCTTGCAAGCGTAGGCACAACCTACGGCAGACGTTAAGGGTAAGAAAATGATCTGAGTATGACATATGGCAATCATTTTAGAGGAAAGGGCGATTATCTTGTCTCAGTCATAAAACGACTCTTGTTCTTCCTTTGGCTTCATTAGAGATCACCAAACCTTCAGTAAAGTCAATTTACTATAACTAGAACTGTAGCACGTTCAATCTTGAATTCAATCGCTTTACTTCGAGAACTATGGCTGACGGCACTGATGACCTGAAAAGTTTGAGACTAGCTACAAAATAGAAATCTGGAATCCCTCGAGAATACGTTGATTATGCGACGAAGCCAAGATATAAGCCTTACATACTGTCAGGTTCCAACAATAAGTCGAGTGACATCGCACCCAATAAGCATCAGTGCCATCAGAAGAATGTTACGATGTGATGGCACAAGTCAAGTAATGTCCATTCACGATAACGTAGAGACGGCTTTCTCAGTCTGCTTGTCCTCGACAGATTTGATCCCTCCCTTCTCCCAATCCGCATCTACAGGTCGTATGCCGACTTCTGTAGTGCTGAATGCATCGACAATGCTACGGTAGCTGGGAATGAAATTGACGGCGAAGGCGTATGACCATGCCAGCACGAAAAATATGAGGGGGATGACCATGGCAGTACCCATACCCTTCGCATCGCCGACAACGCCGACAAGAGGAGGTACGACAGCGCCACCAGAAACACCTGGCAAAGATATTAGCAAGAGTTCCGAGAATATGACTGATCTGGTACCACCTACCAGCAATAATCAAGCCACTTCCTCTCTTCGAGTGTCTGCCAAGACCCCTCATGCCCAGAGCCACGATTGTCGGAAAGCAAACGGATTCGAAGAAAAGTACAATATACAGCATAGCCATACCTACATCTCCATCCTGAGTAATGGAAGGAACGATGAAGATGACACAGCAGGAAAGGAAGCCGAGGAAGACCCAACGGGGCTTGATGTAGTGCATGAGACCGGTACCAGCAAAACGACCCACAGCAAAGGCTGCCTGAGCGCCAGCGAAGAACTTGGAGCCGAGAGGACTGTCAGTATTGGGACGACGCTCGGTCACGTAATTGATAAAGAAACTGAGTTGCCATGTTAACGCATAGTCATATCTCCGCCATTTCGCAGTCTGGACTTACCCGGCAATCGCAACTTGAGCGCCAGTGTAACAGAATTGGGCAAAAGCGGCATGAAAGAGGCGGTATTGCTTCCGGAAGGGTTTATCGTCAACGTTGGCGTGGGTCTCAGAAGCCTGAAAAGCCATGTCGGCATCCGTGATCTCAGGAATCCTAGCCAGCCAGAAAACGATGGCGAGGGACCAGACAAAGACGGCGATGGCGAGGTATACCCATTGCACATTCTCCAAGGCGCGCTTGTCGTCAAAGGCAAAGAAGACATATGAACCCATCACGGGAGCGACGACGGTACCGATACCGTTGAAGGCCTGGGAGATGTTGATTCGGAATTCGCTGTACTTTGGAGGACCGCAGACGGTGATGTACGGGTTTGCAGCCGTCTCTAAGGAGCCAAGGCCATTGCCAATGATGAATATGGCGGCGCAGAAGCCACCAAAACTCTTGGCGATGATGCACGGGATTGCGATAAGAGCTCCAATACCGTAGAGAAAGAGGCCAAAGACGAATGTCGCTTTGTAACCCCAATGCCTCAAGATCCATGCGGCATGACCAAGACTAGCGATGAGGTAGGCTCTGAGCAGTAGAAGTCAGCAAGCTGGGTTGCCATCTGAAGGGTCGCCAAAACTAGATTATAAAGCTGAATCGCAGACAGAAGTTCCACGGAGCATTTCTTGGTGTCATTCGGTTGGTCGTTGGCACGAAGAATGACGCCCGTTGAAGGGAAAGCCTCTCAGTCGAGCCTACAGCACTACACACAGTCGTTGCGATGGAGTGACATACCCGAAGTAGGCGGCCTGCAAGCCGGATGATCTCGCTCGGGTAATGTGTAGCGTCTCTTGAAAATGCTTGTTGAGAGTGTCAAGGAGACCTTACGCTGAGAAATCAGCAAATCTCTTAACTTTTCTCTGTGCGGTCGGGTCGGAAGTAGCGCACCGTAGGAGAAACCCCAAAGGAAGAAAAGGATGGTGACAAGGAAAATTGGAAATAGAGACTCCTTCAACGTCAGCTCGGCAGCATTTGTGCGCACGTTGTCTTTATAGCGCAATGACCGTTTGTGGAAGAACTCCTTGACACCCATATCTTAGATACGATCAAATGGCCAATGGTGTATCGAGCGCCCTTGGGTGCGTCTCTAGGAAAGTTCGCGCGTCGGTGACGTATGTTGAGTGTCAAAGCCTCACGAGGAGACAGGTGCATTAGTAGCCGATGGGCGGCAGCGATGGCGCTTGAGTGGTATCGATGAAGCGCATAAAAAAACAAACAGACTGCTCAGGAGCGAGAGGCAGCCGGAGACGGATGAAAGCTTGTATTTGAGTGCTCGAGCCTGTCATAACCCCCCGGTCGGTCCAAGCCTGATATTGCCGTGGAGGGCAACGTGGGATGGACATTGTTACGCTTGGCATCGCCTGGTTACATGAGAAGACGGATAACTTTTGGGTTGAGGTAAGCATCATGGCGAGATGAGCGATAGATCAGGCTTGTTTGGGGTAAAGGGCGTTTGGAGAGGCGTGCGGGGGTGGGTCATCACGCTTTGAGTCGCGGGGATCATCATCTAGCTTATTTGAAGTGCGGGGTGAAGACTAGGAGAGCCAGTCGAAAAGAACGAGTGGAACTCAGAAGACCTTGGAAAGCGCGCCATACATGTCTGGCATGCACACTTTTGGATGACAATCCCTCGAATCAATGACCCGGAGGCCGGGCAGTAGATGAGTGCGAGTGGGAACTTCAAGTCTTGGGAGGTGGTGATTGGATATCGACTAGCCGGGTCCGGGGTAAAGCGCCTGGATTTGACACAAAGATGACCCGAAGGTTGAGAGTGCCGACGCGAGATGAGGCCACTGTCATTGGTGTAAAGAATTAGGAGCCGAGGGCACTCCCCGATCTTTTCCTGCAAGGTTCGGCGTAGAAATCGAACCTTGCCTACGCAGTTGGTGTCACATTTGTTTTCTGCTCTAGCTTCTAAAAGGTGTGATGTTCGTCTGCGTGCCCTTTTCCGTCGAAAGCCTTTCATGCAAAGGGGAAACGTAGCTGCTGGATTGGCACGCGGTTCAGCAGTACATATAGTTAGCCCAACGGCCTAACCCCAAAACCGGTTTTGAATCTCGAACAGCTAGGTACCATGGCCCCACGTGCAATTGACGCCATTCCGGAGAGGTCTCCTCCTTCTTATTGGGATGTTAGACCCGAGCCTTTGGCATCCCACTGACAGGTGTGAGAAGTTCGTATCTTTGACACGTTCGCACTTCGAACCTCCACGATCACGAAATACTAAGATGTTAGGAGTCAAGATAGCAAAAATCAATTAGAGTCACGTGGAATCCGGGCCATCCCCATGTCAGCGTGAGGACGTTTCTTGGTTCAGCCAACCAGAGCGAGGAATTTTTTGAGGAAGAGCTACGGTATCTGCTTAAAAGAAAAGAAGAAAAGACCTTTTATATCACAAAAATTACACCGTAATCAATGTGTAATCGCCAACGAATTTTCGTGATCATCAAAATAACACATGCTTAAACTTTCAATGGAGCTCAAGAAACCAGGAGAAAGCAATGCCGCTAGTGATGGGATGGAGATTTGATCACATGGCTTGTAAGGAGTACATTTCTTGTTGACTACTTTCGTTCTTTGAGGGCATATGATTGCAATTTGCAGAATAACGATTGGCCGCAGGTATCTAGAAACAATTTGAACAGAATCGATACAATAATATGGAACGGCTCTTATTTGTGATTCCCAAGGCATGCGGAAATGCTAATTTCAAATTCGTTAGATTGGTCAGCCACGGTGTGAAGATTGTATTAACATCTCGGGTCTTTTGCCACAATGGAAATGGAGGAGGAAAGAGAGGGAAAATGCATTGAATGTTTCTCTCCAGCATTCATCCGGTAAATTCAGATGGCAATGTGTCCAGAATGGATCTATAGGCCTGCTCTCCGGATTATATTTCATGTCGAAATCGTTGTTAGTATCACTCGACGGTATCATGGTCGCATTCCCTCTATTTTCTAGCAGTATTGAAGTAATGAGATGAATCTAGGTCGATATCTTCGGCGCTCGACCTCCGTCGAAGGTAGCATATCGTCAGCTTGGCAAGAGAGAAATCGGGGGCCTGGTATTTGGGGCCGACTTGCATGACCCTTTATTCTAGTCTCCAGATGAGCGTATTTGGAAAGGCTACTGGTCTTCATCATATGGCAGGGTGTTTCCCTAATGCTGTACCATATGTTCACTGGGTCTGCAGACCCACTCAAAGACCTCGGCATATCTAGGTGGGCATCCCAATAACACTTGTGAAAGAATCATGACCCACAAGACTATAGGCCTGGTACACAGGCCAGATTGTCCTCTTTGAGGACTCTTCTCATGATTATGTACAATCTATTGTTTCGCGGCAATGGCATGTTAAGGTTCTGAGGTGGGTTGGACACCGTGATGGAGCAACCAGATGTCGGGTTCCAACGCTTTTTCCTTGTCTTCATTGTTTCACTTCCATACCACGGTATCGGGGTTATTGCCGAGGAAATAAAGATTGTTAGGACCGGTCAAGGTGAATTCTCTCTAGTCAATGCTTGCGTGGACTTTGGCGTTCAGTAAAGTTGTCACGGGAAATACGAGCCGTTCTGAGCAACCCTCAAGAGGGGCATAGAGTTGTCGCGCCAAGTTGCCACGAAGCGTTCCTGAATAGTTCACCACTCACATACGTCACGACCCCTCAAGGACCAATGTATGATCGAAAATCTCTCATCCCAGCTAGTGGTGTCAACTGCATTCCCTTGCTGCTTTAATTGCTTACAGTCTATTTCAGTATGCCACCCCGAAATAGGCTCAGCGGCTGGACCTCCAAGTCGCAGCCTGCCTTGGTGAAGCTACATATCAACCATCGAAAACTTTGGTCAGGAACTGCTTGCTAGCAAATACTCTATGTCACGATAGCTTCATACATTATGCGCACACCGCAAGAGCCTCATTATGTGCCATATCACGCGGCGTTTGACTCATAGCTCTTATCGGCTTCATTCTATACAGCCCTTTTCTCCATGTCTTTGCTTTCGTAGTCTAACCCGTTGTATCCCAGTTCTCCCATGTGTTGCTTTGTACTATAACTCGTGACACTATACTCACATGATATCACCAAGCGAACACTTTTTGCCTCCTTGGCCAAGCTTCGATGTAGACTATCCACGAGACTGGGTCCCACTATTCGCCGCAAAGATTTTGTCTGCCAGTAGGCAGGATGTTGCCTGCTCATGCATTGAGATAAGGGATGCTGGGCAGATGCAACTCTTGTACATGATATCAAAGTATGATATACCGTATACACTCGCGAGATCCAGATAAAGCTAATCAGTAGACTAGCCAGAAGTAGCTAGCAAATGTCCTATAGTAGCTAGGATGCACATTGTACTTAATGCGCTAATTCTTATATAGAAGGCGGTCAATCCTTCCACCCTCCGTTGCCAACCAGACAGCCCGCTGTTAGTAAGTACACAACCGTTACGTAAGAAGATAGGCTTTCGAAGGTCCCTGTTTCTGCCAGCACACTATACCCCTTACAGCGGACGCGATACCCCTTACCGTTAGTCTGTCTACTAGCTTTATCCGGATCTCGCGAGCGTATACTACAGGGTGGTAGGGGTAAGTTAAATGCCCCCTGTTATGTAATATCGCCACACAGCCCAGCTGGCTAGGCTAGTAAACAGTACTTTAATGCCCGCTACAGAAATAAGTTGGGGGGTGAGTGTTAGATTGAGATACCTGACAGGGGGTATAAAACTTCGGCCTGGTACCATAGTATGTACGGTAGCCTCGCAGCGGATACCCCCCTTGCATCTCGCCGTATGGCAGCCCTATGGACCCGGGCATCAGGCTGGGCAGAGCGCTTGGAGTCTACAGACAAGCTGATGGTGCCCCCCCCCCCTCACCTGGTCGACCTGAGAGTACTGTGCACAATAACAGCGATAAACCTCACATCCTAAAGGCTGCAGGTTTGAATCCAGTTTTCTTAGATTTTATAATTCCAAAATGGCTCCGCTAGGGAGGGTTAGAATAGTACTAACCTACCCTGCTTCCTACGCTGCGCTCTAGGTTGGGATAGGCCAAGACTATCCCTTTTTAAGTTGTGTTATCACTAAATCCACTGCCTACTAAGGTTTATTACAGTTATCATGCACGGTACTCTCAGGTTAACAGGAGGGGACACTATCAGCTTGTCTGATCACTCGAGCGCTTGCGCACTTTGCAGCCAGTGCTTAGCGCAATCTTGCAATCCCATGTGTAGTGCAGGCTCACTCGCGATACCAAACGACGTCTGAATCTTTGTCATTGTCGAGCCGGAAATCGTAAGGATGAGCAAGTGCATCATCATGACTGTTTGTATCTTTAACCGATTTTTCTCGGCTGGCTCAGCTGATCCCAAGGTGCCAAGTAGCCCTAAGCAGCAAAAAGAAGACGAGGGGGCGGGGGGGCTAGGACTCGGAAAAAGTGGCAAGAATATCTTTGAATGGGCTGTTTCGCATTCGTCGCAGCGAGGCCTCGGCGTCATAAGACAGAACAGACAGGCTATTCAGCTGGAAGTGCTGCTAGGCATAGCCAACGGCCACCCCGGTCATGAAACTAGATATTCTAAAGACCTTCTGGATTGAAGCTCAGGCGGCATCATTTGTAGCAAAAGAACTAATAGCGCACTACTACTACATCAGCCGCTAAGGACTTCATCTAGGTAGTGGTTCCAGTGGCGTGTCGTTGCGTACGTTCCCACATGCCAGACCCCTGAGAACTCATCACATAGCATCGTGCAGCCAAAATCTAGCTTGGCTCGTTGCGTGTTATGGCCGTTGTGCAAACACGGCCAGTCCTGGCCTACGGATCTAGCACGTGGGTTCGGCCAATGCGAGCGGGTGGGTGGACCAGCCGGATGAGTGGGGGTTAAATTCCAAGCGGTTTGGGAACCTGTCTGTCATCGGAGTTGCATGTACAAGGACGGTACAAGCTATCGAACCCGCGTGGACGGGTCAACGAAGAGATTTTCAAGGTTTTGGTGTCAGAAAAGGGTGTGCATGTGTCACCCCCAGTCTCCCGTCTCTCTAGCCTAGAGGCTGGAAGGGAGCTGAATACCATGAAGCTTCTGCCAACACACCATGTCGCCAAAAGGCGTGGCGTGCAGCGCTGCCATGCTGTGTCGCCGGCGATTGGGGCGCCGGGATTCTTGCCGTTCTTTGTCATAGGGTGAAAAATGCTTGGGTATGTGTCAAGCTTTGCCAACCCTCTGCCAATGTCATGACGGGTGTTCTTTGCCCCAATCGACAGGTTTGGGGAGTCTTAATGCGTCCTAGCATCAAGTACCCAACTCGGCGATTGACAAGTCCAGAGCCTCATCAACGTCAAATGTCACAGCTTCGATGTTTTGATATTTCTCACAAGATCTCGCTTGTGCCGAGACGCTCTAAACGGGGTGACATGACATTAGATCAGCAAGAGACATGGTTTGTGCCATATTGACAAAACCGTGCGACATGTGAGTTAAATATAAGAACAAGTATGAAAAAGAAAGAAAGAAAAATCATTAGATAGACCTTGAAAAAATACATATATAAATATAAGGATACCAAAACGGAGCAATGACTGTGGCTTGACACAGCGTGATGGATTCTATTCGTCTCGATTAGCCAGATTAGCGCGGGCCATCGTCCTCGATTGGGACACCGAGTGGACGAATTCGAGAACCATCTCACTGTTGGCAGGATTCATCATTCTCTCAGTATCTGCAAAGAGTCAACGCGATTGGACGTTGGTCACACTTGGCAAAAGTGCATTCGACTTTACGCCAGCAAATACGAGCCTCTGTTTCGTTGGTTTGCATGTCCGGCAACGGAGTTTGGTGGCAGTATTACGGGACTATACCACAAAGGGTACCGACGTGCCAAGAGCGGGTTGCAAAGTCGCAGTAGGGTTTGGCAGCAGACCCTGCGCAACGTGCTTGTAACGGGCATTCCGGGTGGTCGAGACTTCGGACCAACATTGATCTGGAGGGGAATGGCGGATGGGACTATGAGAGAAAAACTGGTCCGACTGGGGTGGCCTGAAGATGAGAAGGGGCTGAGCGATAGCCCTCGGTTCCTGGAGAGACACCATTGACTCTTATCATTGATCTTGGCGGAAAAAGGCAAACGTCGGTGCCCATGTTGACAGACCGGAGAAGCATTCCGTTACAGGCAAGTCGGACGACAGTTCAAGAGGAGCCAGGAGTCGTGTGTGGGACAAGGCGTCCACTGGATCAACGTCTAGGAAACAAAAATCGTGGTTGAGCGTTCGATGAAAAAAAAAAAGTCCAGATGCACAAGTGTGTGCAACGAACAAGATTCGATTAGAGGGCTTGGCACGCTCTTTAAGTAACCTTGATAACCAGGGGGCTGACGAACAAGTCAAACAATGATGGCAAACAGATGCTACACGTGGAGAGTTTGGGTGATGTGATTCGCCGACTCCAAATCCTCCCCGGATGAGATTCTTCGCCCACATAAAGCTTGCTGGGTGAACCTAGGCTAGCATGCTAGGGATACCGACATCTTGGCACACTAACCATATACAGAACCCTTGGATACATCCCGTTCGCCATGACATTAAGGTACATCCCTCATCGTCCAATGTTAAGCTAATGAATGGTATGGTGTGAGATGAGAGTGGGTGTGCGTCCATGGACGCGGGGTAACTTGCCCGGCCAAGGGTTGCTTAGCATGGTTAGATAAAGATGTACCTTGAGCATGGGGGGTTCGAAGCAGGTATGGACAAGGAGACCAAGTAGGTAGAGTTGGCCTCTGTTCGAAGGGAAAGCCGCCACTTTGGAAAACTAACCTGCCAAGAGAGGACATAAAAGGTCTATCATGCGCACTCTCAGTATGTCAGTCCGGCTTGAGTGTTTTGTCTTCCCCAACAGGCGACTCCTCCTCATTCAACGAGACCAAACAACCTGCTTGCCCAGCCACAACCAAGCAGCAGCAGTCCTCCACGATGGCGCTCGACCAGTACACCTATATCTTTGCCATCGGCACCTTCTTTGCTATGCTCGATGCATACAACAACGGTGCAAGTGAGTACTCCCCTTGATGGATGGTGAGAAGACAAGCAGCTAGATACCCGGTTGGGCCGCAGCCCTCTGGCCATCGCTTCCTGCTGCCTGCTTAGTCGATTGACTTTGGCACAACATCTATATCAGACGCTAACGAAATCAAACTCTCAGACGATGTCGCAAACGCTTGGGCGACCAGTGTATCGTCAAGGTCAATCACCTACAGACAAGCGATGATCTTCGGTACTATCTTCGAAATGCTCGGTGCAATCACCGTCGGTGCCCGCACCGCCGAGACCATCAAGAACGGCATCATCCCCAACAGCGTCTTTAACAACAACCCCGGTGTTCAGATGCTCGCCTTCACCTGCGCTTTGGCTGCTGCCTCTTCCTGGGTTATGTGGTGCACACGTCACTCCGCCCACGTCTCTTCTACCTACTCCCTCGTTTCTGCCGTCGCCGGTGTAGGTGTTGCGGTTGCCGGCGCCGACAAGGTCCAATGGGGCTGGAACAAAGGCAAGGGTCTCGGTGCCATCTTCGCTGGTCTGGCAATGGCCCCTGCCATCTCTGGCTGCTTTGGTGCCATCGTCTTCAGCCTTATCAAATTCACCGTCCACATCCGCAAAAACCCCGTTCCTTGGGCCGTCTGGACCTCGCCTTTCTTCTTTCTTATCGCCGGTACCATCTGCTCCCTGTCCATTGTTTACAAGGGATCTCCCAACCTGGGCCTGGGCAAGAAGCCTGCTTGGTATATCGCATCTGTCACTGTCGGGACTGGCGCTGGTCTCTGCCTCATCTCCGCTCTGTTCTTCGTTCCCTTTGTCCATGCCAAGGTCATCAAGAAGGACTACACCCTCAAGTGGTGGCACTTTGTCTACGGCCCTCTTCTCTTCAAACGGCCCGCTCCTCCCGATGCCGAGAAGGCTAAGGTTCCCAACTACGCTGTTGTTCAAGAGGATGAGGATGAGCAGACCCTTCCCTCGCACGAGTCCGTCAAGTCGTCCGAGTCCAACGATGAGCCCCTCAAAGAACCTCACAGCCCCAAGGAGACGCATATTCCCCAGGAAAAGTCGTTGGCCGCCGCTGAGATTGGCCAGGGTCCTAGCTACAAGCAGCTTCAGGCTGAGGGGGAGGCCAGGCTGCACGCTAAGCTCCTCAAGAAGCGTGGTCCCCTCGGCTGGGCTATGCGCACTCTTCGCGACAACCCCTTCGGCGCTGGTCAGATCTATGAGCTCCACAACATGAAGATTGCACTTAAGCGCATCCCCGCAATGATTACTGTCGGTGCTCTCTACGGTCTCCACTACGACATCCACGCTGCCCAGACTGGCGTTACTGGTACTCCTGAGGGTGAGCGCATGAAGCGCGTCTACGCCAACGCGCAGAAGTACCCCAACGAGGTGGAGCACACCTACTCTTTTGTCCAGATCATCACTGCCTGCACTGCGTCTTTCGCCCACGGTGCCAACGATATCGGCAACTCCGTCGGCCCTTGGGCAGTTATCTACTCTGCCTGGAGTACTGGTGATGCTGCCGCCGCCAAAGCTCCCGTTCCCGTTTGGCAACTCGCTGTCCTTTCTGCTACCATTTCTCTGGGTCTGATCACATACGGCTACAACATCATGAAGGGTAAGCTCACTGACCATGGATTCCGTGTATAAGAACATGATATTAACACCTCACAGTCATGGGTAACAAGATTACTTACCACTCCCCCAGCCGTGGGTCCTCCATGGAGATGGGTGCCGCCATCACCGTCCTTGTTTTCTCACAGTACTCTCTGCCGGTCTCTACCTCCATGTGCATCACCGGTGCTACTGTTGGTGTTGGCCTGTGCAACGGCACCCTCAAGGCCGTCAACTTCCAGCGTGTGGGTCTCTTGGTCTTCTCTTGGATCATGACCATCCCTGTCGCGGGAACCCTTGGCGGTGTCCTCATGGGTCTCTTCCTCAACGCTCCTCACTTCTAAGCGCATCTCTTTGTACATCCCGACGAGGGACTTTCACAAGATACCATCAATAGTAAATGTAATGTAAATGGAAACTAAAAGAAGGGTTGGCATATCATAGACGGCAAGAATGTATGTCAGTATGCTGGCACAATAACGAGAATCACGGTTATCAAATAGGCCAAGAACTTGGCATAGTGTGAGCGTCATTCAATGACGCATGCAGAACCTCAAGGCTCAACTGCTGAGTCAGAAAATAGCCCCATTGTGACTGGAGTAAAACCACCTTGCGGCACGTTTCTCACTCACTCTTTGAGCCAGAACTTGACGGCCTTAGTACAGGTATTGAGGAGACTTGTATCGCTCAGCACTAATACCGTTAATGGGTGTTAAGGATGCTTTACTGGATAGATTGCCATATTTCCCGAAGGCAAGCTGCTGTCAATTGGTTCTGGGAGATATTCCTCCATTTATAGACCTCAGCCACGAGCATCACTCAGGATCAGTAATGCAACTAACTCAAAACATGCTTGGCAAATATAGAGTTAGCTCGCTGACACAGCAGAACACATACACTGTGCTATTTGCTCTTCGATGCGTCCATGCGCGCCAAGATTCATGTGTGGCTATGTCCCGCATCTAAAAAAATCCGCCACAGTGATGTTTCACTTAAAAGCAGGAACATTATCAGCACAGTCGTGAGAGAAAGTTTCATCAAAGTAAGCAGTGGTTGTACCGAGTAACACTTGCTCGCATGCTCGACTCTGGTCCAAAGCAGGGCTGTGGTAGGTTATGCAATTGCCTGGCCTCTCGAATGACACAGCTTTGCTCACATTTGTTGGATTTAGCGACACTCATATGGAATCATACAAAGGAGTTGAAACCATCAATAGGCTTACTGCAGAAGATTACGATCTTTGCCTTTGGCCTGGAGCAGCAATTGAGAGACCTGTTCATTCGAGCTAGCCACTCCCTCACGAACCGGATCTTGACCAAGTCAAAAGATGAGATTTGCACTTGCAGGTTGACATGCTTTTATTTCACCCGCGTAGAAGTAGTGTCGAGGTTGTTGAGGTGTACTAAAACACGGAGACAATGATCGTTTGGCCAATAACTAGCTCCCACCAAACACAGTGGAGGTTGTTGAATGAGAATAAACAGTGAAAAGCCCCCCCTTTTCTTGCTGAGTCTAGCTTCTCAATAGATGAAGAAATTGCGAGTGCCTGTACCTTCTTAATTTCTTGAGTGATACTCGAATGTCAAGTCGGCATTTGTTTGGCTGGAGCTTGACTCAATATGGGATATTATTATTATGCGCATCTAAGGCTTTATGGCTCTAGCTCACTTTTCTCAGTCTAAACACGAGCAATGTTGACCATTATGAGTATTGATAGATGTATTGATGTGATGGGCTCATCTCATATACGCTTCAGCTGAATTGTTAAGGTCTAAAGACACTATATGGACAGAGGTCTAGAGGGAGAAGAGTATAGAAAAGTGGTCCATATGCACTCAACATAGGTATCGGCTACATAAGTATGTATTTTGATTGGGATGGTTTGCAGGCTTCCGTTTCATGTATTTCTAGATCAACAAAGAGAGAGAAGGAGGGCCATGCCTTGATGTAACAGGAAGGGGGTATCGCATACATCCACAACCTCAATCTGTGGTGCTGATTTTCGCATGGCGCAAAGTCACTCTTATAATTCTCAAGCAAAAGATGATCAAGATTATGTCTAAGAGATTCTTCTGACGGAGCTTGCTTATTTTATCAAGAGTTGTTTGTAAATATTGCTGGAATGTGATTTCACGCACAAGCGTCCTGTCTATTAGCGCTTCTGATCGTCATCTCATAAAATGTACAGAGTCTTTCATAGGCTCAAGAGACTACCTTCTGAAGCGAGTTCTCTCAGGTGTTGATACTCTTCATCCGCAGGGCCTCTGATTTGTGTCCCTCATCGCGACATGGGCCCCTTGTTTCAAACACGGGATTGTATCTGGTAAAAAGTTTATATGCACTTCTCATTTATGATCGACGAACACCTACCAGCATAAGCTGCTAGGACCTTTAGGTCTGTTCGGAACTCGGCGAGCTCGGGAAGGAAAGGTCTATGTGAAACAAACGATGAACGACACCATCTACTTTGGATGAAGTGAGCTTCTACAGCATCTACTATATTAACTTGGATGTTATGATGTGGCCGATAATCGCCATAGCACAAAGAAAGAAATACAAGGCCAGCGAGCAGTAATACAGAGCCGTCCACTTTCAATATTCGTCAACAATGGTAGATGCATCAGTTCATCCATTTTCGTTGTCTTCCAGCGGGGCCGGTTTGCAGAAACCCATTGGTCAACTGAACTCAACCGCAAATGATATACGCCCCTTCTTTACTCCGTTTCCATGCGTTTCTGAGACATTTCCAAGTCTCTCGCTGCTAGGTGCGGAGGTTCGTTCTCTAGAGGCCTCAGTTGTGACAAACTACAACGGTTGGATTCCCTCGGGGTGGAGATTCTCGCAGCCATCGATCGAAATCCATAACGCATCATTCTGTAATGTCACAGTGTCTTACACCCATCCAGGTCACGATGATATAGTCAATGTTGAGACATGGCTTCCAACAAAGGACTGGAATGGGAAACTCCAGGCTGTAGGAGGCGGTGGATGGCGTGCCGGTCGGTTCATACTTAGTTACGCTGGCATGGCCGGTGCTGTCGCAGATGGATATGCAACTGTGACTACTGACGCAGGGCTTGGAGACGCTGTTGGGCCAGCGACCTGGGCTTTGATTAGTCCCGGAAACTCCAACCTTTACGCGCTTCACGACCTCGGCTCACAAACACTGGATGACGAGGTTCGGAATTGACTATGGCTTGAGAAACCCTTTACTAACAGCATCAGGCAATAATCGCGAAGCATCTTATCAAAAGCTACTACGGTCACGAACCAACATACTCGTATTGGAATGGCTGCTCTCAAGGAGGACGACAAGGAGCAACACTTGCCCAGCGATACCCAACTGCGTACGATGGTATCATTGCAGCGGCGCCGGCGGTAAACTGGGCAGGGGTATTTATCAACACCATGTGGCCGAAAGTGTATATGGACGTTACGGGACAATACCCCCAACCATGCGAGTTAAAAGAACTCACAGCGCTCGCTATCTCTACTTGCGACGGACTTGACGGTGTCCAAGACGGTATTATCGCAAACACGAATGACTGCAAAAAGATATTCAATCCCTTCAATCATGTGGGATCAAAATTCTACTGCCTCTCTCTAGGAAACTACACGAATCTTAGTCATGCGGCCGCGGCTGTTGCCAATGCGATGTGGACGGGGCCTGTGACCGCTGAGAACGAACCCACCTACTTGCATGGCTTGGAAATGGGCACAGATCTCACCAAAGGTGCTCCAACAAGCTGCGATAAGGACGGTCGGTGTGTTGGGGTACCTAATGTCGCCGTCAAACTTCTGACTGGGTACTTTGTTGGTAAAAATCCCGACTCGAGCACCACCAAGATCTCCTTCAAAGAGCTAGAGCGAGCCTACCGCTCGTTTAGACAGCAGTACGATTCGTTCCTGGGCTCTGACGATCCTGATCTGACAGCATTCCGGGATGCTGGCGGTAAAATGATAACTTTCCATGGACTGGTAAGTTTATCAAGGCCAACTGTTCTTGCAACACAAGGAACCTGAATTGACTGGCGAAAAAGGCCGATCCAACTATTCCTACGAATATCTCGCTAGAATATTATCAGAAAGTGTTGGCACTTCAGCCAGATGCTCCAGACTTCTACCGGTACTTTCTGGTTCCAGGGCTAGGACATTGTTGGGGTGGCCGTGGTGGCCAACCAATTGCCTTGTTCGACCAGCTAACACTCTGGGTTGAGAACGGAACAATCCCAGAAAGCTCGCCCGTAACTATAATGAAGCCGGACAAAACGCCAGAAGACCAGATATTGTGCCCTTACCCGAAGAAGGCTGTTTTTCATGACGACAGGCTGGCTAGTCCATCTGGGTGGTCCTGTATCCCATGAACCATGGGCATCGGAATAGCAATGCGTTGGATCAAATTACTGCTGAACTGAACACAAGCCGGAACATGGAAAGAAGAATCAAGCCCTCCATGAAAGTCGAAAAATGCGAATTATCTAGTCTTTCGACACTCGTTTTGTGTCTTCCATGACTTGCTGCAAAGAAGAAAGCACAACAAAAAGTGATAGATACTCTTGGTAATTTCCATAAAGTAGACCAAACAAACTAATACATGCTTGGATAATAAAGAGTTTTCCAGATAACTTATGAATTTCATCATACATTGTCCTCCTGTTAGCCAACGGTGGTCTGAAAGGACAGATGCATTGGTTATGCAGCCAAGAAAATAAGCATTGTAATCGAACAGGTTCAAGCTCCTTACATATGTACTACTATGTTTGCTTGGAGACCCCATGCTTCCCAGCTGGGGGCCAAAATACAGGCGGCCGACTTGGCACGACAAACTGCACTTTTACCATAATATCACGGGGCAATCGAGCTACTTGCTGTGATCTCAGCTTTGCTGCCGTCGGGTTCAGGCCAACATCGTCTATTTCGGGTACCAATCACAATGTGAATCAATCTCACCGAAGTCTTGGATGTCCAGTGGGATCGGGCTAAGCCACTTTGGCGGGCGGCCCCCAGTCCAACTGTAAGTGAGCATCAATCTCGATTGGACGAACAACACGAAATGGTGCGAACGGCGTGAGCCAAAGTTGGCACCCTTCTAGTCTCTAAAGAGTAAGTGCTCAGTGCCCTTAAAGCAGCCGACATGCACTAAAAGCAGGTTGTTTCTTAGGCAGCCAACAACGCAGAGTAGAAGGGTGTACTTTGAAAATCATATAAGCAGTAGAAGCTTCCTCGTTGAATGATAAGATTGAAATACTATAACGACTTATTGTATAAAGTTGCCCTCTCCTATCCAGACTTCTGGTGAGAAATCTCATCTTAGTTTACTGTTTTCTGAAGAAAGTGTATTCGAAAATAAATCCTTCTGTTTCCCTGAGCTTGCCACACTGTTAGCTGGTTTCTTGATTTTTCTTTTTGGAAGCAAAGCTGTTCCTTCCGACTTCGTTACTTCTTTATCAGAAAAAAAAAAAAAAAAAACAGCATTGGGCATAGTCGCAGCTTTGAATTTGGTTCCGAGAGCAAACACTGTAGGGCGGGCCTTTCACCTCCAGCGAACCCAGACTGGGTTTCCCTTCCCCCCCTTCAAGCAAGCAGAAATATCTTCTCCTGGTACTCCTCGTTGACACCTTTCGGCAAATTCAACCTCAACTTCGCTTCGCCATTTTTAAAACCAACACCCGAACGTCTCACTGCCTCGTCTACCTTCCACGTCCCCTCCAGCTCCGTCGCTGAACAAGGTTCGACACAGAGCGATCCCGGCTACACAACGGTCGTCAGAACACAAACAAACATGGGCCACTGCATCAACTTGGATAGAGGCACAAGCCCCATCTTGAAAATGATGCGAGTGGCAGTAATTGGCGCTGGTGCCTCTGGTCTCGTAACTGCCAAGTATCTCAGCCAGGCCAGGGAATACTTTGGAATCCCTGGCATCGAGATCCGCATTTTCGAGAGAGAGAACAGCGTGGGCGGTGTCTACAAGTACAAAGTGTATGAGGAGGCTGAGGTAGGTCCAATTCACCTGTTGCCGACCGTTGGCTGCATCGACAAATCCCGTCCGTCGTTCAGTTGTGGCAGTTCATATCGTTAGAAGCTTATGGCAAACAGATGGTGTCTTCCAAATACCTTACAGCCTTTTCGGACTTCAGAGTTTCTCACGATCTTCCCGATTTTCTACCCATGGCAGATTATGTTCGGTATCTCGAGGGCTATTGTAGCCACTTTGAACTCTGGGACCTTATTGAGACAAGAACCGAGGTCACCTCTGTGTCTCGTACTCCAAATGGCCACCGAATTTTCTTCCGGCGGATGGATAAGGAACCAATCAGCTGCACCAAAGATCAGACAAGCGAGGCTGAAACCTGGGACTGTGACGCTATTGCTGTCTGTTCAGGGCTGAACAACGTGCCTTCAATCCCGGCCATCGAGGGCCTCGATCGCGTCCGGACTCTTCATTCGTCCGAGGTTAAAGAGAGACAGCAGTTTGGAACAAACACGTCAGTGATGATTTTAGGTGCAGGCGAAACAGCAATGGACCTTGCCCACCTAGCGGTGACATCCGAGGCTCGTGAAGTGACTCTGTGCCACAAGGACGGCTTCTTCTGTGCCAAAAAGGCATGCTTCCCGAACTCTCCAAGTTTTACCTTGTGAAATCACTACTAACTCCTGTTTAGAAGATTCCTATGCCAGTCCTCATGAAGAGGTGGAAGCCTGACCCGCACCAAAAGCCAGTTGACACCGCCATTGCCAGCTTCCTCGATACAGCCTACCTCCCAGAGAGGCTTCAGCATTCCCAGCTGACCTGGAGTGTGTATGATAAAACGCTGAAGTGTCTTCATTTCCTCTCTGGAGGAACGATCGCTGGTCCCGACCAGTGGGTTGGTGGGATTGAGGGCGATCGTAACAATGTGGATTCCTGTAAGTGATGGAAAGATGAGAGCAGTGGGTTCGACTCTCAATGGGCATACGATTAACGAAAGAAGTGTTCCTCGTCAAGTCAGATCGCGCTCTTCCATACCTGAACGAAGGATACCGCGCCCAAGGCATTCTCTCGCGCTTCAGGGCCTTCATGATGAATGTGGAGCTCAAAGATACGGGCGGCAAAAAGATCTTGACTGCCCCTTGGCCATTGTCCTTTTCGAAGGACGGCACGGTGACGTTCCCGGAAAGCAAAAGCCTCGAGCACACTCAGGTACTTTCCAGAGTGATGCAACCCGATTTGGTTGTTCTCGCTACAGGATACGTTCGTCGATTCTCCTTCTTGGCAGAAGACTATCCGAAGCCGAATGAGCTGGATGTCCGTGGGATTTGGAGACGCAGCGATGTGACTACTGGCTTCATCGGTTTTGTGCGTCCTGGTATCGGTAAAAGCCCGACGTTTGAGTCGAGATGACGGTTATTTTATTAATTATCTGCAGGTGCAATTCCGCCCCTTGCTGAATTGCAAGCCCAACTCTGGGTTCTCAACCTGGTCCGACACCAGTACCCCCAGCGAGTGCCGATGCCTTTCCCTAGTCCTGGTCAAGGTGCATATGCCGATGTCATTGGACACTATGAGGTGGACTACGCTCTCAAGGCCCGAGGCGGACACGACTTTTTCAAGACCAAGCATGGTGTCGAGCAAGAATCATACGCATATCAACTTGCCCTAGATATGGGCGCCGCGCCAACAATCTCATTCATGGCACGCCAGGGCTTTAAAGCTTTCTTTACCTGGGCCATGGGATCCAATTTCAACACCAAGTTCAGGCTTGTCGGTCCGTGGAAGTGGGAGGCAGGTGCTCTTGCTATCATGCGCAATGAACTCTTTCAAGTCGTCTCCCAGACTGGTGGCGGGGTGTGTAAGTCATTGCCCGCGACTCAAGGTTACTTTTAGGAAATACGCTGAATTCGCACACAGTCTTTACGAGCTATACTCTCTTCCCCTTGCTTTTCTTCGGAGCATTGACAGGTATCCTTCACGCCACTGCGGTGTTCCTGCGTCTTCTTGGCTTGGAACCTCAGGCTAGAAAGGTCCTTGGTTCAGGCAATGTTCCCCGTCGTGAAGGTGATGGGGCCTGAAGAGTTAAAAGAGTCATAGGGGAACACTTCGCGAGAGAATTGCTGGGAACCATACAGTATCAGAAGGCCTCGTAGTTAACACGAGGTTGATCATTGATTGAGACGAGGGAGACCGTTGGGGTGATGAAAGATTGACATGGCTATACCATAGGTACTTATACCTACGATAGGGAGCTCCAGGGACACATTGGGCGGGCTTGAACTGCACCTGCCCCGCGCGGGGTACCTAAGCAGGCGTTCTTTTAAGGCTGATTGGTCATATCGAGTTTCCGATAGCGATAAGACCAATTGATGCGTCGCCTAATAATAATTTATTTTTATAAATATTTTTTTTCAAAGCCTCTCGATCGCGACGGCTTCAAGTGGAACGAATTTCTCAACTGGTTAGGCCCCGTCGTAGCGATGCATCACCTCGTCCAGCCCCACCAATGGGTGTCGCTGAAGCTTCTATCAGAGGATACAAAGGTGCTCCAAATAATCCCCAATACGTAAGTCTATCTACCAGAGAGCGAATCGCGTGTTCGCAGGTTAGTAGCTGACTTTCTGCGCCTCAGAACCATTTCACTAGGCAAGCTTGGCTCTTTTCCAAGTAATCTCGTCATTGAGCGACCATTCCACCTCACCTACGAAATCCTCGACCGACGTGATGGGGAAAACTTTAGCAGGCTACGAGTTGTACCACCGAGCGAGATCCACGCCGACGCCCTAGCCGATTTGAACGCGCAGAACGCCGAAGAAGAGGGCGCTACCCTCGAGAATGTCATTGCTGCCCCCGACGGTGCGGAATTCGAACTGGTTGATAAGGAGAGTGGCGACGTTGTTGCGCATTCGAGACGCGAAATCATCGACGATGCTGCCCGTCAGACCCTGACGGCCGAGGAGATTGAGCAACTCAAACAGGGCAACAACACCGATGCCGGCAAGGACATCATCGCGAAGCTACTTCTGTCACATACCGCCATTGACCAGAAGACGGTTTTTTCCTTGGCCAAGTACAAGCTGCTCAAGACCAAGAAGTACATTCGTCGCTTCACAGTACAACCCCTAGACCCCCTGACGCTGGGCAAGTGGCTCTTGGAGGAGAAAGACGCCGGAAAGGTGCTGGAGATGCGGGAGGAGATGATGGGATTGCTTGGCTGCTGGGCCAACGTACACTTCGGTGGCCTCCCCCCAACCGACAAGCCCGAAATAGTGACGACAGATGGCTCGGGATTGTTAGACAAGTCGGAGATCGGTGGCCGATGGCTCGTCGTGGATGATACTGGGGGCCTGGTCACCGCTGCCATGGCCGAGAGGATGGGCATCTTGTACCCCAACGACCCCGAGGACGTTGAGGACGCTGGTGTTCAAAAGGATAGCGCCGACGGGGAGATTGACAGATTGAAGCCAGCAGAAGCCGTCACCAATGGCGATGGATCGCAAACCACAAATCCCAAGGAAGCTGGCATAGAAACTACTGCTGCTCAAGAAACAACAACGAGCTTCGAACAAATGACGACAACGGCAGATGGGGTGATGGCGGACGACGCCGAGGCATCAAAACCTCACCAACCTCGACGAAGACACCCGCCCCGTCGCGATGACTTTGAATCCATCTTCGCCCCAACCAACACCATCACCCTCATCCACCCCAACAGCCAGCCGAACCTCGCTCTTCTTAGATACTACAATTTTGACAGTACGAACCCGAACCCGCCACACCCCCTACACCCTCTTGCTACGAATCTCTTGCCTATCTCCTGGCTGCAGCTGCTAGAACCCGAGGAGGACGTCACATACTCGACGCCACCCCCCGATGTGTCCGAAGAGGTCCTGCATACCTGGAAGGCCAACCGTCGAGGCAACTATCATCGCAAGAGGAGACGTTGGGCACGTACACGATACATTGTAGACTCGACCCGCGCTGGCGGCTTCTCGGGGCTCGTCATCGCAAGCACAATGGATATTATCTCTATCCTGCGCCACACACTACCGCTGTTGGCTGGCGGAGCGCCCATCGCCATCTACTCCCAGAGCATCGAGCCGCTGACCGAGCTCGCTGACTGTTTCAGTATTGCTCGTCGCGCCGGGTGGTCATCAAACCCCCCCGCTGAGGCCGCTGGCAAGTCTGTCCAGGAATTGGAACGCTGGGAGGGCTCGGAAGACTTCCCCATCAATCCGACTTTGCTCCTGGGCGCCAATGTGCAGACAAGTCGAGCGAAGCGCTGGCAGGTGCTGCCCGGCCGCACACATCCTATGATGATGGGTCGGGGTGGCGCAGACGGCTATGTGTTCACTGGTTGGAAGGCCGTGCCTGCGGAGGGCAAGGTTGAGGCCCGAGGTAAGTTCAAGAGAAGAAAGGTAGAAGCATGAAATAGCCCAGGCAAGAGTTTCAAAAGCATGGTCTAGCAAACCGGCATAGGACGCATCGAGGAAATTATGCGGATTTAACACGGGGCAGCAGCTCGGATGCATATAAGTGCCCCATCATCCTCCTATCGAAGCCTTTCCGAGCTGAAATGGGAGTAATTGGCATCATCATATTGGCCTAGTCGCTCTAAAACACTTTCACACGTTCCGTCTCCAGCGTTTTGTCCCGATCACCCGCTTCACAGCGCCTTGCCCATGAACTTTCTCTTGGTGAAGCTCAACCACCACTTGCTCGGCTTTCCGTCACCGCCCTCATCGTAGACTCGTGCCAGTAACCGCGCTGCCAGCTCCTGGCGGACTTGGGACAGGTACTGTCGGAGCTGTTCTGCATCTTGCCGATCACGCGGAGGCTCGTACATCTAGGCAGGTCAGTGGCTTGATGACGTTCAAAGTCGTACACCGGTTATAGTACCTGGTTCAGCGGCCATGCCGGGTCGCCGGGAATGGCAAAGTTGGTGTCGAGGGCGACGTTCATGACATCCTTGGACGCATCGCGCACGCCGGCGTTGGGCTTGATCTTGGTCAGGCAATCACTGACGAACCATATACCGTAGACAAGCAGACGATCGGCGGGACCCTGGATCTCGAAGTTGCGGAAGAAGGTGTTGGCGCGGAAGAGGGCGAGGACCTCGTCGAGGATGTCGTAGCTCTCACTGTCCGGGTCTGGGGACTCATTGGCGGGCAAAGGCGGGTTGGGGAAGGGCAAAGTGTAGGCTGGACCGCGAGTCTTTGTGCGCAGCGGCAAAAGAGGGAAGTTGCCTATTAATCTGGGGATGTTGGGGTCGGCATTGAACATGGAGTTATAGGCCTGCACAGAGAGGGCATCGTCAGCTTAATCTCAGTGGGCGGAGTAGTTAGTTGGAATGAGGGGAGAGAGGCGTGGTTCGGTAGAAGCCCGGGGCGGTGGCAATGGAGGGGGAATGCATTGGACATACCGGCATTTTGCTTAGCTTCCTGACCAAAGTAATTGGTCTTGGTCGAATGTGAAGCTGGTGGTGATGAAGTACCTAGTAGGCGCGCAGTTGGGAGTCGGGAGAGGTCAACTGGTGCTGCGTAAAGCAGGCCAGCCGATGGTGGGGCTCGACCTAAGCTGGCTGACGTCCGCCGCACCGCACCGCGCCGCACATCATTCACCCAGGGCGGGGCGGGGGAGGCTGTGGCGCAGAAGCTGGGCTGGAGCCACAGGAGTCACAAGATAAGTGCATGAAGTTTGTGACTCAGGCAGCATTACTTCTAGGGGCGGCGCGTCAATGATCACACGGGCTGTTGCCGAGTTGGCAGCAGCGATGACATGGCCCATGCTCGATGTCGATACGTACTACCTACCACCCAGGTAGACGCACCTACCTGGATAGGTACCTTGCTACTTATTTCGAAAAGGGCTTGGTGCCTAAGATCAGGTGACTTCGCTCTTCCTCCGTGTCAGTTTATCGGCTGCAAACGGGTCAAGGGAAGGTGGCAAGTCGCGCTGTTCCGTCCCCCTCGAAAAGAAAAAAAAAAAGGGAAGAAAGAAAAAGTTGACTCCCAAAATGCTCATATTTGGGTCTAGGGGCGGACTTTCGATGGGGAGAGGGCACTAGGTTGAAGTATTCGGCGGTAGGCAAGCACCACCACCGCGATCAAACTCCTGACACAACACACTCGACACCGTGACGGGGTCGACCATTAATTACAGCGTCGCTCTTACCCAGCTTCTGGCGCCCAACGCAGACAAACACACACATAACCTTGGAACACGTACAGTGACGGCACAGAACACACAGGTGGAAAAAGACGAAGGCCCCGACCTCATTATTTGACTCGCTCATCCCACCCCAAGTCTATTCTACTTCTCGTCTTTTCCACCCTTGGATCTCCCTGCTTTTTCCAACTGTAACATACCCAGCCCATCATCATCATACATCATACGTACAGGCTGCCGGTAATCATCGCCGCCACATCTTTACTCCACCCGGACCAACGTCCCGTTGATTCTTTCTTCTCCCCCGTCACGCCGCCATAGGTTCGAAGTGTCGCCGATCTCAACATAATTCCGGTCGTATCGGCTCCTCCTAGCCCCGGTCTTCAGGCACCACTCTTTTTATCGCGTAGATCAAACTTCGGCACCGCAAAATACGTACGGATTTCCCCCGACCTGTGCGGATCCGTCTCCTCTTTTCTTTTCTCTTCCAACACCACGTCGACGTCGCGCATATATTTGCGCCCACTGCTTGTCGCTACTTCCCACCGCCTCAGAATCCAGCCCCGTTTTGTCGGTATTCCGACGCTCGAGATCCGCGACGCAAAGGTCCCCTCTCTCTCCTGAAATAGAGAGCTAAAGGGAGAGCGCCACGCCCCAGTGCTCATTTAGCGTAAGTCCCACCGCTCTGTTGTTCCATTCCTTGACGTCGAAAACATCAAACATTCCATACTTTTCCCCTGACCATGTTGACAGTCGCATAGGCCAGTATTCGCCCCGAACAACATCACTAGACGATCGCGTACTGTCGTCGACCTTTTCCTTCGCCATTGCATTGTCGTTACTCTCGAAATGGATATTCCAAGCAGTGCGCCGACCGCGCCGACGGCATCACCAATGTCCTCGCCTGAACCAATCCATACAACGCCTTGCACGTCCAGCCCGATCCCCGCCACGATGTCGTCCGCGAAGCGCATCCAAAGACGTCGCGTCTTCCGTCCTGACGAGGGTTCTCTCTACGACTTGCTGTACGAGCACGCAGGCCTCTCGCTTTTTGTTCGCCCCATCTGCTGGACTGATCTGCATATTCGCCTCCTCGGCGCGGCATTCATCGAGCTTCCCCCATGCGATACTCCAGTCCCTCCTCCCTCGCCGCGTGGTGCCCCCGTCTCCCCTTCAAGATGCCATATGAAACCATCTGTTGCTGCGACAACACTCAGCCGAGAGCTTACCGCGGTGCTCGCACCAGGATCAACGAGGAGCTTCTACACTAACTCAATACGCACCATCATGTCTACCCTTTATCCCAGCAACCTGTCACAATCGCGCACGCAGCTCGATATGCACCTGTACTTCGGCGGCCTAGCATATCGCGACACATGTCGCGTGCAGGTCGCCTGGTTTTCCATGCCATCACGCAGCGGTTCTATTGCCTCGTTTGAGTCGGCCTCGACGCGCCCGGCAGAGTCTTTCAACGTTGTATCCGCTGGTGCCACCCCCAGTGCAAGCAACGGCGGCAGCAGCGAGCAGCTGGCGTATACTCAGCCGGTTCTTGCCTACCTGGGCAAACTGCAGATTGCCGCTACGCGCAAAAACATGTACCGCGTCATCCAGGGCCCCAACAGATCATACAACGGTCCTGTCGAGCGTCTGCAGCAGTTGCGTTCCAAGATGTTTGTGCCAACTAATCCCAATCATGACCCGCTGCTCGTGGGTATCATGCTGGCGATGGCCCAACGACGCTTCTACGGTGAGCCGCAGCCGTCACCTAACAAGTGGACCCCTTCGCGGCCGTTTCCAACAGGGCTGGGGGAGCCAGAGTTCCACGATGTGACAGTGCAACTCCTCACAAATGACAATGAAACATCCGAATTCATCGTCTACAAGGGCACAGTTACAGCAGAGCTCCTTCGCAAGTTCCACGAACCTACAAAAAATCCCTGCACCAATGAGAGAAAGACGCTCGCCGACCGGCTCGAGAACATTGCAGGTCAAGGGGGTATGCACATCGAATATACAAGAGTTCCTGTATGGCCTATCCTCGGCCTTAAAGAGAGACTGGGCAAAGCGCTCGGCAAGGAAGTGGTCGGGTATTTCGATGAGGACAACATCGAAACATGGGAAGAGGAAGCAGAGCGCAACTCCGATAGGCTCAAGCGACGACGAGATCGTGAGGCCCTTGCCGAAGTGTTGAACGGCAGCTTCGAGGAAGAAGTCACCGACGGTATGCCTCTCAGTGGGAAACGAAGATGTTTAGTTGACGAGGAAAGCGGGCAGGTGGGGGTGGTCGTTTGATAGAAGTGCACTGTCCTTGATCATTGCATAACGAAGCTACGAGGCGTTTTGAGAGAAGCATACAGCATTCCTTTCTCCCTCTCTCGGCACGGTCGAAGCGAATATGGCCACGGCCAACAGCATGGGAACATAGGATGGGTTTGACTCATTTTTACTTCGGGCAGCTGGAGTTGTGGGGGACATGAGCGATGAGAGTTACGATTACAACTCACGGGACAGACGAGACGTTACGAGAATCCGGCCGCGGTTTAGATCATGGCAGCATTCCATTCCGGACAAGTGTTGGGGAAAGAGAGTCGGAACATTTTTGGCATTGGTACGAGAGACTTAGATTCCCCAATTTACGCGCGAAAAAGAGCGTGTGACTATGTGGCTTGTTTTAATTGGTACACTCGTATCCATTATATTGTTATCCGCCTCACGTTGTGCGGCATATGATATAGCTCTGAGCATTTATCTCATCTTTAGCAGCAAATCGTGACGGTGTAGTCGGCGAGGCTCAATCTGGTGCTTGCTCAAGATCCCTGGACTTACTCTCATGACCAACCTCCGAGTTTCCTGGGCAGGGACTGGCACTGCGGGACATAGCTGGACACAACTACCACGTCTTGGCGGGAACTACCTTTTCGTACAAGATCTCGACAAAATCCATCTACCCTATTCTGCGCCGGTTATTTTGAATAATGGCTGAAGTAATAAAGCTAAGACCAACGTCGATTTCGCATTATCACAAAAAAGCTTGAGACTACTTCTGAAGCTGCAATCCAAAGTTGAGTAACAGAAATAGGCATTTGTTGGACCGTCGAGGTCGTTCGGAGTTGCTGCATCGTTGGTTTCTTTGATAATGCTTGTGATTTGAGCTGCTTGTCATGCACAGTTACCAAAATAATCAGCTGTCCGGGCACGGTCTAGGTGATGGAAACATGTTGGAGGCGAAAAGGGGTATGATTGCCGACGCGCAGCTAAGTACGCAAATAAAGGAGACTATCTGCACAGTAACTATTTGCTGGATCTGGTTTTGGCGATTCCAACACAATTTGCTGCCAATGTTAGTTTTTTATATTGGTTGCATGGCTTGGCGACTCACTTTGGAGAAAATGTCGGCTTGGCGAATACCCATCTCTTCAGCAATATTTGCCAGACGTGCTTTAACGTAGACTCGCTGTGTTCGGGTTGCGAATCGGCTTGATCCCGTGGCAAGTAGAGGCCACATGCACGATATACCAGCCAAACCCTTGGGCATCTCGGATGTCCCGCAGGGAAAGTACGGCGTACTCAGCGCATCCCCAGTCCAACCGAAAAAATATGGTATACTTGAGATGATGTCCGCAACCTGCTCAGTGCCAATCCTGTGGGCGTCGATATACTCCTTGGTAAGGGTGTGATCGCTTGGTGCGCAAACCCAAGCAATGCAACGAACTATCACCTGATTAAGAAGGAGTCGCGACACGTGAGTATTGATATGCTTTCCCGCTGCCCATACGTTCGGATAGTCATAGATCGTTCCAGGGAACGCCGAGACGAGTCTGATCCTATCTTGCGGCACATTGGCGGCGGTCCCTGAGATGACTTTTCTCCATGCCGGCGGGCAATTATCAAACCATACACCAAGTTCGTCGTCCATCTTCCGAGCCCGTTGGAGTAGCTTTAAAGCCTTGTCGATTTTGTCCGTCGTTCGTGCGCCTTTGAGCAAGCTATCGGCCTCGGCTCGGATGAGGGTCGTCTGGAGATTCAAAACTAAAGCTTGATGGCCGACGCTATCGCAGACTGCTTGCCGAGCCCACCAAGCCAGGTCCTCTAGTGAAATGTTGCCGAAGAATGTGTATTGCCGAATCTACTTGTCATCAGAAATCTCTCCTAAGCGCGATGAAAAACGGGAATCGCATACCGATGCCGCTCTGACAAATTCAAACATGCTCAAACCCGCGCTAGACTGTGTTTGATGGGGTCCTCGTAGTTTGACAATGGCCGTTGCTCCTAAAATATGTTTCTTGAAGCCAGACATCCCACCATTGTCTGACACCAGACCTTCGTAGAAGGCAAGAAGAATCGCCGAGGCGAGTGTCGTATCTTGTCTGACGGCCAACTTGTCTTGCATGGCTCGTGTCAAATCTTCAAGGGCTTTGCTGTAGTGCAAGTGAGCCATTGAGGACAAGCGTCGGGAGTTCGGCCTTCCGGCCAAGGCTGCCATTGACACGGCAGAAAATGCCGACTGCAGCGGCGATGCCTGGTAGTTTGGCATATTCAACAAAGGGAGGACGAAGGTCATAATTCCTCGTCCGACACCTATCGGCGGAGCGAGGACGTAGTTGGCGAGAAAATAACAAGTAGCTTGTTGGTCGAGAGGTGTCTGCAAGGTGTGTGGCATCCCGTACGTCCCCCCCTCGATATCTTTGAAAGAGACAAAGGAATCGGGGGCCTGGGTGCTGATGTACGATAGTGAAGAAGCATAAGACATTGATGGCGACACGTCTGAGGATGATGAATTCGAATACCGGTCAAACCAGTCGTCGTCACTATTCACTGGTATAATGTTGACCTGCCGTTGCCGCGGAGGCGGTGCTGCCGGTGGAGTCCATTCCATCACTTTCGCTTGGGTCTGGTCTTTGCTTTCATCGTCCTGCTCCGGTGTGCGCCCTTCTTTGATAGCTTTACGCAAAGCGGCAGACTTGGCCTTGCGAATAGTTGACTGGGTCTCATCTCGGAGGTTGATCTCAAAAGCGTCCCGATAGCCCGGGCACACTCTCTTCGACTTGGCGCATTTTAAACAAAACGGTTTGGTCTCGTCACACTTGATCCTTCTCGCACGGCAGAGCTTGCAAGCCCTGCTCGGATGCCCTGTGTTGACCATTTCGAAATTTGGAATTCAAGGAAGAGGCTGATGGAACGACTGTACCGTGATTCTCTCGAAGTTTTGATGCTGCCAACGGTCAAAGGCCAATTGATGGGTCAAGTTTGGGGGTTGTATCATGCAGGCGAGTTTCCCTATTCAGGTAGGAAATCCAAGGAAGAGTGGGAGGGACGGACGTGCTTCTACGGGCCATAAAAGGGAAGATGAGTAGACGGAACCTGGGGTGTGTCAGACTTGGATCATATGGCGGCCATCGATAAACATTGAAAGGGAAACGCGGGCCATTTGTTTACAGAGAGAAGAAGCTGCAAGGAACTGGACATGTTTCAACTTTAAAACCCGCCCCGCTTGGTTTGACGACATGAATCGGCTTCTGGTCTGAAGACTATCTGCAGGATAGGGAATGGGTGAGTAGAAAGGAGAGAGAGAGCGAGAAGGATGAGAAAGAGGAGAATATGACGTTGCGGGTTGGACCTTACCAGTAGGCAGATGAGAGAGGGAGAGGGGATAAACCCGAGATCCGACTGTTGAACCTTACGGCCGGGCCTGTCAACTTGGTACCAGACATGACAAAAAACTACGTCGGCATCCTTTCCATCAGCAGGGGGCAAGTTTGAGCGAATGCGAATTGTCACGGCCAAGATATGAAAGAGTAGGATCAGACGAAACGGCTTAGCCCGAGCGTCATGGTGAGCATGCGATTGAAGAATAGTGAAACCGGAACTCCATGCGAAGACAACTGGCGTTTCTGAAACCTGGTCATCTATGACTTGACGCATGAGAATACCAGAATAGGTTTGGCGCACTCGTATTTTATTTGGCCTTCTAGAATGTTGCCGGAACAGCCTGTGAATCCTGTCAGCATCGACCCCCAAATTTCTTTCTTCAATACGGTTGACCTACCGGTAGCAGAAGATCGACGGGGAATCTTCACAGGGAAGAGCAACAGCGAACAAATTCCGGTTAATACTGACCCACTTATGCGTCTCTCCCGCTCCCTGGCGCCTCCTTTTTATTGCTGCTAATGTGGGGGCATTCAGACCCGGAAAGATTGTTGCCTTGAGACGTTGCTGCCGGGCTACCACGACCCTTACACTAGGCCTCGTTACCATCCTAGACGCCAATCAAGGCAATAAACCGCTCCGTTTTGCGGAATTGGTTAAAACAGTAGATAAACAAAAGAAACAAAAGAGGAGAAAGCTGGTCTCTCTGACGGAGTCAAAACAAACTTCCCAAATTAGAGGAGTCTCAGCCTCTACGTGTGATCAGAGCGCGTCGCAAATACAATTCCATGAAGTACTCCTTTTTCGGCAATCTCGGACATGAGTCCGAGGGTCGCAAGGGTATTTGGGGGGCCAAATAGGTTATTTTCTATGATATACTTTCAGCAATTTCTTGAGTCTTTTTGTAGGGTTGCAGATGACAAGCCGAGTCGTCTGGTGAAGTGGATTGATGCGTTCATCCGCCAACGTCATGTTCTTTCTGACATGACGTGGCACCTATCACAGATACCAAGGTCCCGGCATCTTCATATCCGCTGAAGATTTATGTCTTCCTCTGTATCCCTTTCGCTCTAGGGATCAGCCAATATGGTTTACGAAGAGGAAGCAAGTTTCAAGCATGTTACTTGTCGCAATATATAGGCTACTATCACTGCCCACATAACTAACAGTATTATTCTATTACATGATAGTTATAAGCCTAGCTCCTACCTATTATATACTATAATAGTATATATATTAATTTATAAGTGCAGTAACTAGCTTTAAATCTTAAGCACTATAGGTTTAATTCCTATTAGGGTCCCCTAGTTAAAAATCCTACTAAAGTCTACATAGATCTTTACTACCTATAATCAGCGAGATGTACCTAACTAGGTTTTTATTAAAAGTGTGTTCAGATCTAACTTTCTAGGTCTAATCTGGGGTGTATGTCGTAATATATAAGCTACTATTACTGCCCACCTAACTAACGGTATTGTTTTGTTATGTGACATTACTCAAGAGCCAAAGCAAACCCAATGTCCTGCAGATTCCTGGGTACCAACCAGATCTGATCTGAAGGCTTTGGTCGTCAAACATGTCTTCTAAGCTCAGTAACTTTTGGAGTGTTGCCGCAAGGGGAAATTTTCAAGGGAAACGAACTATATTAGATATTATATATTGACAGGGATCGCAAGGAGCCCTTCAATCCGCGGCTCTGCATTTAAATGGCTATCAGCTGACTCATAGCGAATATCAATGAAGATATCACAATAAGATGCCTAGCACTTGTTTCAGTCATTAAATACTATGCCCGAACGGTATGCGGCTGAGGTTATTTTTCTTATTCCTGGAATATTCATATTGTCGCGATGCCTTCACGGCATCGCGCAGCCTTTTGGGTGGATCCGACCGGTGCCGGAACATCTATTAATCCGGATCCACCGCCCTGATCCACTTTACCGACACGTATATCTACGCGGCCCAACAGGCAGTCTAGAACGTAGATAGTTAAGCCGTTTTCTTATGACATTCCATGACCGAATAAGTGCATCGTGACACATATCTATTCATGGATCTTCCCGAAACGAGCGTGACACCATTTACCTGGTAGTGCTTCCCGCCCTGGTGAGACCACTAGCATAAATCAGGGGCGCGGCTGGGTTCGGGACAGGGGGCAAGCGACGAAGAAAATGCCGGTTCTGGAATCCCACTCTTGATATCATCAACTCCAGCAGCTCTAAGTGTGTTCGGCGACCAACGGAGTAGCGACCGCGCACTAAAGGAACTGAAAGGCAGACGAGCATTCCCACTCTGATCCATTATTCTTTTTGTTCATCGGCTATTTCGTTGGCATCTCATCATCTCTACAGCTTTCAGAGTGGAAGAGCATCTAATACAGTCTCGTATGCTACTGTCATTGAAATCCAAACAGTGACCACCTTCGGATGTCTCAGTCGTGTGTCTACATCGGTGATATTCGCTACAGAACACCGTACTTAGAATCATCAGTCAAGAACGTGAGTAACAAATTTTGAAGTCTGACATCTTGTCACCGTATCCGACTAGTAAGATATAAGGATCAAAGAAGCGTATGTCCGGCTACCTAGCCGCAAGACTTGTACATGAAGGCGCTGTCCGTCTATGCTACCCGCTGATCCATCGCACTGCTATTTAACATCTGCTCATCCCCCATTTATCAGCCAGACGGAAACGAGCGAGGTACTCACACCCCGGATGTTTGCTGTCTGCTCTGCTAGGAAATTTAAAGCATCAGAGTGCGAAACAGTTAGATAGGATGTTGTGGTATCACGATTCACGGAATCATAAGCGTTAACAGGCAATCGAAATCCCCAGCAATGTCTTGAACCACGTGTGCCAGTCCCTCCAAAGCTCATCTACCCATTATCAGACGGTGGAGCAGCCACCAATCGATCCCAGGATCCAAAGGCTTCAAGGTTCATAGACTCAAAGATTAGTGTAACCATGTATCCCGTTGACATGCTTTCGTCAGCGGAGTCAGTTATCTCACAGTTTTATGAGGGCGCATCGTTTCCTAGTGCCTTTTTTAGTAGTTTCCCCGATCCATAAGCAAGTATTAATATGGCCAAAAATAATGTTTATCTAATTCTGTTGGTGCGAACATTCTCCTATCTCAGGACATGAACAACCCCCATATTGTATTCCCCCACAGGTCAGAAATGGGACAGCAAAGACTAGCCAGAGATCTGTCTGTTAAATAGCACGGGACGTTGCAAGATAGTCGGGGCTAGAAGTATACCAACTGTTTAGTTCCTCCTTTCGATTGCCGAAATCTGCAACTGAAATGACGATCTAAGACTGGAAATTGCTGCAAGAGGATAGTTTAAATTGCGTCACACGCATTGATGGAACAGCAGGCTAGTGGTGGGATGAGTGACAGCAGACGTGTTCACGACAGTAATTTGGCCTATCAGGCTGAGAGTTTCATTACAATGGATGGAAGTGAGTTGCATGCGTACCGACTTGGTGGGTGTGCGAACAGACATTCCAGGGAGGATACTTCTTAACGACAGGCAGGGAAGCAACAGATGGTGATGCAAAGTGACAGACAAGACGTGTGTAAAACATGAGACGACAAACTGAGTCTCACAGCTTGTTTGCTGTTTTGGGAAGGATGGCTCGTGGCGATGCGAATCTACTGCCGAGCCTCGGACCGGCAGTTGCCTGCTGTTCCCCAACGGCCCCCGAAAGCGTCTGTTGTCGAGCTTCCTCCTGATACACACTAGGAAAGGCAACTCGGCAGAAGTCCAGTGTGGATCTGTCACACCAAACATACCGTTTGTTCGGTAGGAGAGTGGAAGAACAAAGAATTCAAAAAGGAGAAAATAGACTAGAGCGCAAAGGCCAAATGATTAATGCGGCGAATACAATTCTCATAAGTGCCTTACTATGTCCATCTACAGGATGCATATTTGTGCTCCTTGATTAATTAATCCTTTCAACAAGAAAGCGTGAAAAACTGGGTGGTCGTTCAACAAACCACCTACGTTACGGTACCCAGCACCTTGGTCTTCGGCAACTAAATACAGTCAAAGTGAAACATCGTCACCACCTCCGACCCTGTCTCCACAAGCTCACATCCTGGTCCGGGCCAGTAACTCGACGAAAGAGGCAGTTCGCTTTGCTGCCGTCTATAAGTGGTTATGGCCGGCATTGCTGGGCTTTCTTCTGCTGCTGCTCCTTTTCTGTCTCTCAACTCTCTCATCGCGCCAAACGTCAATGTAGCAGCAGAAGTCTCAACATTTACAGCATTGCCATTAGCACAAGTGGCAACATCGGTTGCAAGGGCAGCAGAATTGGTATCGTCATCGTCGCTGACTACGAAACCTTTGGTCACACTAGCCTTAGCTACCTTGGCCCCTCACAGATCGATACCAGGCGAAGCTGGTACTTCTAACAGTGTCCCGGTATCTGTTGCCCGTCCTTTACCTCCGCAAATCATTTTCGAGACACAATACATCACCTATATACAGCTGAAAACTATCACTCCCTTATACATTACAGTCACACAAACAGTACAACCTGAATTGCTACCGCCGCCTGATAAAACACAATCAAATCCTTCTCTCGCGGTCTCAAGCCGACACCCTGATGCAGTCCCCATTCCAAACCCCAATTCACCAGTAACAACACCATCCATCTCCGTACCGTTGCCTGAACCAACAACGGAATTAGCTGGAGTATCCACTTCCTCATCTTCTCAACTGCAGATACCTCAGACCACCTCGGCCTTTATATCTCACACCTCGCTCTCTCCATCGCCGCCACCACCTCCTTCAGCAGTAGCGACTTCACCATCAACCGTTCTCGGCACCGCAAAACCGCGATTACCTCCTGCTCTCGCACCTATCATGAGCAATCCGGAACTTGGGAGAAGTGGACCGCCCGACCCGGCTGACGGCGCGTTCCCCGGCGGCGTGCCGAACAAGAAGCTCGATTTACCCCTCACTATTGTGTTCATGATCCTGTTCATGCTTGGGGGGTATGTCCATCTCAGCATCTACAGAGCAAACGCAAAGCGTGGTCACAAGTTTCTCCTTTCAGATATCATGGCCGAATTTTGTATGCTCCGCACTGTGACATGCATCTTCAGGATAACGTGGTCAATTGTCACGACGCGTGGTGTTGTTCTCCTGGCATTGGTCACTGTCAATGGTGGGTGAGTTACTTGACCCCAAGTCCTGACCTGAACATTCGCAGAGCTGACCGCCTCTAGTGACGCCTTGCTATTTGCCGTCAACATCTTCTTTGCCCAGCGCCTTGTCCGTTCAATCCATCCCAAAGTAGGGTGGTGCATGGCCTTTGGACAGTTTACTTTCGTCCTACTCATATCCGTCCCAGCGATCATTCTCTTCAACATTGCTTCATCGATAACCAGCTTTTTCAGCGTAGGCAACGCTGACCGTCTCGAGTTGACGGAAGATCTTCTCAAATTTGGAAGTTCCTGGAGTTTGTGGCTCGCAATATTTCCTGTGCTTGTCGTTAGTGGGTGTCTTTGTGTGCCAGGACCCGCGCCAGAGAAGTTTGGTACCGGCTCACTGAGAGTGAAGGTTGCGCTACTTTACGCTGGAGCTTTCCTGTTGATCACAGGGCAGTCTGTACGTTGGTATGCCCTGTTCAATAAGGAGCCACCAGGGACGAAGAGCATCATTTACAGCAAGGCGGTATTCTACACCACAGGCTTCATGTTCGACATTTTGGTTATTGCCCTTTACGCCATGTTGCGGGTTGACGAGCGGTTTTACATTCCCGACGGTTCGAGCGGACCAGGGGACTACTCCGGCGACAAGCACAAGGGACAATACTCCGTAGAGGAGATTGAGCGGCTTGTTGGCGGCTTGGAGGTGCCACATCAGATCATGCGCGAAAGACAGGGACCAGAGGACATGAACATGGTGTTTGCCATCTTCTTCGCTACCAAGAACAATAACGGTGATGGGAAAACGAAGTCCAAACCTTCAGATGAAACCGTTGCTGGAAGTGACCTCGGGAACCCGGAGTTGCCAGAGAGGCCGAAGAGAATCACAAGAAGGGAGACGCTCATGGATGCCATCAAGATGCCGCCGCGTCACTCGATGGCGTCAGCGGCGTATCCGGACATTCCGGGCACATACAAAAAGACAGGTGGGGGAGGGTATCCACCCCAGCGTCCACGACGTTCGTCCATGTCTTCGCAATTTGAAACCGAGCGGAGTTACGACGTGCGATACCAGCAGGATTGGGACGGGTCGCCGCCGTACGGAAACCAAGAAGGGGATGAGAAAGTTTGACTCGAGGTCGGGAGTTAGAAAAGCAAAGCAGAGCATACTGTTGAAACCCAAGCGAGCCTAGATTGCATATGGGCGCAGCTCAGATGTCCGTCTGATGTACATCAGCCACAAAATACTACTATCATGAATTCACTTTTTCAGGCGTGCCTAGGAATCTTCAGGCCGAATGTGAAGATACAGAAATAGCTCAACATAGTTATGTTGATGTATTGCATGAAAGCTATCATGACTTGGCAGGTCGCACCATTGGAACCAACGCGGAAGTCTGGCCGAGGTCCGTCTTAATGGCATAACCTGCCAGGTTGTACAACTGGACAATGTACTCTTCGGCATCAAGGTATATCGGATAGCCTTTCTGGTCCGCGATCTCGGACGCCTTTTGCAGGAGAGCAAGGCCGTACCCACGTCGGCGATAGGCCGGGTCCGTCATGATCAGCTCAAAATCTAAGCAAGCAAGCCATTGAGTTAGCATTTGCCGGTGGGTTGGCAGGATACAAGCGATAAATGGGGAGTGGCGAGCGACAAGTGGGGCAATTCCGCAGCTGGGTTCAACCCACAGATGTGAGGCTCTTTGCCCATGATACGATGATGCTGAGTCGCCATGCCGGTGAAGAACTCGTCGAGGAGATCATCCCTTTGCCCGGCGTTCGCTGTAGGCCATCGTTTCCGCCACGACCAAGTTCCCTCGTCTTCGGGACGGATGATCCAGATGACCGAAGCGGCCACGGGCATACCTGCAACAGACGTGTCAGTCGTTAAGAGTTCACCACGGCAATCGCGATCGCCACACGAAACCTGACGTCTAGTAAGAGATCACAGGGAGCGAGCGTCGAGCGACGGAGTAGAGTCGAGGTGGCTTTCGACAGGGTAATCTACCCTGTTCGTTTCTGACGACAAAGACTTGACCCTCTTGGCTCCCGTTCTGCTTAGAGAGCATAAATTGCTCACTGGCCTTGGTCATGTAGTCGCGCCCATACTCGTTCTGAGGGAATAGTGTCTGGAAGAAGTCACTGTTGAAGGATTTGAGGAAGATGTCGGCCACAGCAGGTGCATCTTCCAGCGTGGCGTATTCGACGACGAGGTCGATGGAGGAAGTGGTTGCTGTTGGAGGAGGATTACGCATGACAGTCGATGCAAGGCTAGTTAATTGTAGAACAGCTTCAGGTATTTGGCAAAGTCAAGCCGTCGAGATTGTTTAGGTACGTGACGGGAGTTGGAGAAGGTTGGCACGGATGGGTGTCGAATTGCGAGGTGTCAAGGACTCAAGCCCTCGAGGCCGGCTGACCAGACGCCGAGACCGGCCAGCAACTCATCCAGTTAGTAGCGGTGATTTAATTGTAGTCTTACTGCAGCTGCCTGCGCTGACCGACATGCGGAAACGCCCTCCCCGACAACAGGAGCGAGCCATAAGTCCACAAAGTAAGATCGGGACTGTGGGTCACATGTCCGAGTCGAAGGAGCTGCGAAGTGTAGATGGGGTGATAAAACAGTAAGCGATTGGTGGAGCTTACAGTCTGTTGCATTGACAGCGTCCGTTGCGTTGGCAGCGTCCAGTTCTAGCCAATCAGAGGCCAAGAGTGGAGAATATTATCGGCCTCTGATTAGCTTAGACGCTGCCAGCGCAACTGTTACATTAACAGCGTCCAAAACCCTTGCGTTGCGTTAGTAGCTCCTAAAACCTATATCTCTATTAATAAAACATCTAAATAAGTAGAAGAATAGTGTATACATACTTTTATATACAAAGAATCTTTTTAGACTTATTTTAGAATTAATAAGCCAGAGGTAGTATAGATATTTAAGAGGGAACTTAGGTGCATAGACGTTTTTAGGTTTTGGACGCTGCCAACGTAACGGACTGTAAGTGGTCACGTGCGTCCGGGTTTCTTCCAGCGCGTTTGCAACGCGTCTTTCGGGCTCGACTGAGCTCAATTGCATCAAGTACGTCAAGATTCTGGACCACGATTTGTGACGACCGACTGCAACCTGTATTCCGGAGTCCCAATTCAATCCCCTGCCAGAAGTCATCATGTCCGACTACGAGGATGAGATGGATGTCGACGTCCCCGTGTCCAAGGACATCACCTTTTCCTCCGACGCCAAGCAGGGCAAGCGCAGTGCTGCCAACCTCCCGGTCGAGGCAGAAGACAGCCTGCCATGGTGAGCCTGGTCCTGTTGTTTCCTTCCGAGATGTTGTATGGCTGACGTGCCCGCAGGGTTGAGAAATACCGACCTGTGAGCCTCGCCGATGTGTCGGGCCACCAAGACATCCTCGCGACAATAAATAAGTTCGTCGACTCGAACCGACTCCCCCACCTCCTACTCTACGGACCCCCGGGCACGGGCAAAACATCAACGATCCTTGCTCTCGCACGACGTATCTACGGCGCGGAGAATATGCGGCAGATGGTCCTTGAGCTCAACGCCTCGGATGACCGTGGCATCGATGTCGTGCGCGAGCAGATCAAGACGTTCGCCTCGACGAAACAAATCTTCACACTTGGTCCATCGGCGAAGTCGGGGGGCGGCGGCGGTGGCGGAGGTATGGCGTCCTATAAGCTTATCATTCTTGACGAGGCCGACGCCATGACTAATACGGCGCAAATGGCCCTGCGCCGGATCATGGAAAAGTACACAGCCAACACGCGGTTTTGCATCATTGCCAACTATTCACACAAACTCTCGCCTGCTCTGCTGTCTAGATGCACGCGCTTCCGCTTCAGCCCGCTCAAGGAGCGAGACATTAGGGTACTTGTGGACAAGGTTATCGAGGAGGAGCACGTCAAGGTCATGCCCGAGGCGACGGAGGCGCTCGTGAAACTCAGTAAGGGCGATATGAGAAGGGCGCTCAACGTGCTTCAGGCATGCCATGCGTCGAGTAAGTTGTTTCCGGGCAGTGGAAATGTGGCACGGTTTTGCTAATTCACACATCTTAGGTACGCCCCTCCAACCCAAAAACGCACCCAAGGTGGCCGAAGGCGACATCATCAGGGAAATGATCTCGACTGAGACGATATACAACTGCATCGCGGCCCCACAACCCGACGCGATCCAGGAGATCCTGGACGTTCTTCTGAGCACAACGGACGTAACGTCCTGCCTGACAACCATCAACACACTAAAGGTGGCGCGGGGTCTTGCATTGGCGGACATCATCACGGCGCTGGCTGAGCAGCTGGCCACGTTGGAGGTCAAGCCGGAGATTATGATCAAGTGGTTGGATGGGCTCGCCGACATTGAGCACCGAGTGGCGAGCGGAGGTAGCGAGACAGTGCAGACCGGTGCCGTTGTGGGCGTCATTCGCAGCGGGGCAGAGTTGATGAGCAAATAGCAAATAGATAGGGTCACCAAGAAAATTTCTCGGGGAAAGGGGTAAACACGGGGAGGGGAAGCATAGAACAGATAATTCACGATGTTATGATCATCCTTGTCTGTCTCGGCAGTATACACCACTAGGGAGACATACCGAACAGTCGGTCTGCACGAATGCTCGGCAGGGCACCGATTGTTGCCGCTTCCAATCCGGGGCCCTCGCCAATGCCCAAAGAACCGCATGCGTCAGCACTCGTGTTACGTCCACTGCAGCTGTCGCTATTGCTGCCGATTGCTCCTTACGCGTGGCCAACGGACGTGCAGGACAAGCACTAGTGAGGCACAGTTAGGACAAGGGATAAGTATACCTGCTCGCTGAACCTAAAAGTGGAGTTTGCGCAGATCAAAGTATCGACTCTCGTAGACTTGGGCACCCGGCATATTAGGCCTCGGACAACACTCGGATCTAGAATAGAATGATACATGTCAAAAAATTTATATATGCCTTGAAAAATATAAGCGAAGAAATGGGTCTTCCTATCATGAGCGCCGGTTCCCACCAACCTAGCAAGCCCGTCGTCATGTAGAGGCTAAAAACGACCTTCCTACGTAAACGCCAAAACTATCTCCAGAAAGTGACCTGCCTCTTAGTGCGCATGAAAAAAAAAAACCCCCCCCATTAAGACATGCTCGTTCTATAGGAAACCGGTTTTGGTGCAACGCCGAGTGGATTTGCTCTTGGAATGGGGGCCCTGAGAGTTTTCTGTTGCGAAACCAAGTCACGAAGTCAAGAAACCTTGTGATGGAAAGGCCAGATCACCGGAATATCCAAGACTGCCCGCGCATGCGAGCCCTTGTCGTAACAAGCCACGGATGCGGCCACACGCGAGACCTACGTCACGCATCAAGCCTTGGATGACAGCGACGTCAATCTCCTGCGCTTGCTCATCAATAATAGCTGGGAAAGGTGGGTGAACGGCCGCTTCAAACATCGGGCCATTTTACAGGGCCGCACTCGCCCTGTTTTTCGATCCAGGCGTTGATCTTGTCGACGGCCCAGCCCGACATGACGCGATTCTCATCCTGGGACGCGCGCTTGACCGGGTGGCCGAGCTTCCATGCCCAGGAGAAGCTGCAGAGGCCGTCCTTGTATTGGAAGGAGAAGCAAGAATCGTCAGCCTCGCAGGCCTTGCGGCATTTGGCAAACGATAGATGAGCTTCCTTTTCTTCCGGTGTGAGGCCTTCGGTCTTGGCGCGGCCGAGCTGCCACTCCTCGTGCTTATTGGCGGTCGCGTCAAGGTAGAAACGGTCGTCGGCGAGATTATCCCAGTCGACGCGCTTGGGTTGCATGCGGGGCTTGAAGAACTCGTTGTAGATGTCTTTGATGCGCATGGCGGGAGGCGGCTGAGGGAGGTTAGGGTCGGCATAGCGCTTTGACTCGTACTCCCAAAAGGACGAGATCTCCTCAGCGTTCATATGGTGCATCGTCACGATGGGGTGGCACCAGTGCGTTGGGCCGTAAGGGAGGGTGAAGGGCTTCTCTCCGTTGATCGTCGGCCACTGTGCAGTGTTAGTATACTGCTTTCGTCTTCGTTTTTCACTGAGAGGGGGAGAACCCCCATCTCTCTCTATCTTGAAAAGGTAAAAAGAAAAAAAAAAAATTGAATCGCCAAGACTTACCACATTATGTACGTCGACATCGGCGTTTTCCTTCATGGCCAGCGCAAAGATGTAATCGCCACAGCATTCCTTGCTGGCGCGGACATCCCACTTATTGCCGACATCCCGGTGGCCGGCAATCATGTCGTGCATGGCAGCCTGGGAAACAATATAGCCGCTGCCACCGTGACCGAAAATGAAGTTGCGGATCATGGTGACGCTGCCCAGGTAGTGCTTGTTCTTGGGGTTCAGGTTCTTGAGCCATTGAACGAGAGTGGGCCAGAGGACGTAGGTGTCGGCGTCGATGTAAATATACCAGTCGTAGTTGGGGCGCAAGTTGTATGTCTTTTCGGCGATGTGAACGTTTTTGTACTTGTCCAGATTCCAACCCTCGTCCTTGCTCTCGGCGAGCTTGTTGCAACTCTGCTGATCTGCCTGGCAGCTCTTTTGGCGGCGGTAGAGGTCGAAGTCCTTGTTGCCCTCCATGGCTTCGGGAAGGACACGATCAAGGCTGTCACGGATGTGGTAGTTCGCGATGGTTTGGTCAAGGTCGGAGAAGATGAAGAACTCGGGTAGGCACTTGAGCACGGTCATGAGCTGGGTAGGGACCTTATCGAACGATTCGGTGGCGCCTGTCTTCACGACGACGAGGATGTTGCTCGTGTCGGGGAAGGTGTCGCAAATGGGATCGCGGGGACGGTAGGGGATGTCTTGATTCGACACATTGTGTTGAGCGAGGTGATCATCCCCAGAGCTCGGAGGGGATGATGTCGTCTCAGGACGGCCGCTGGGAGAGGTTCCTGAAGGAGTCGGCGGGCTGTGGCCCTTGAGGGGGTGGTAGTTGGGACCCTCGATGGCCCAGTCGCTGCCAAGTCTCCTCGAGGAGATGAGAAATATGACAGCGGTTACGGAGACGAGAGTGAGAACAGCGAGGGCGCGACGGGAGAGCATATTGACAGCGACAGTTGGATTTAGACAAGAATCACGGCGCCTTGGATTCAATCCCATGATAGCATGCGTCGCAGAGGGTACAAGGGTGCCGCAAGGGTCGGCGGCAGCGACGGCAGCGACAACAAGCGAAAGCAGTGAGTAAGGAGGCAGTCGGTTGGTCGGTTGGAAGCAGAAGTTGCTGTTAGAAGGGGGAGCGGCCGAAAGGTAGATGGCTGGTTGCTGGTCCAATGGTACTGTTATCGCAGGTTGGTCGCCGTCGCCGTCGCCGTCGTCGTCGTCGTCGTTCGGGGGCTGGTGAGGGGAATAAGAGAGGATGGATTGGGGGTAAATAGCCCAAATAATAATAATAGGATAGATGGACAACTAGCAAAGGAAGGACGAAGGAATATTTGGGGGCAATGGGTAAAGAGGCTCGATAAAGCCACAGGCCAAAAGTCAAAAAGGAAGATGGATAGACAGTGAGAGAGGGGAGGAAAAGGTAAAAATCCGTAGGTAGGTAATCAGTGAGTCGCATAAGAGAAGTACGTAGTCATTTTTGCAAGACCCTTGCTTGGTACCGGCCGGTAGGCACCTAGCTCACAAGGCGAGGAGACTTACGGGTTTCAGAGGTATACATACTACCTAGGTACCTACCTATAGTATCTATTCACCTAGGCCTCCCTTGGAGGGAGCCACCTATACTACGCTTCAAGCAAGTGTGCTTGCAACAGACCCGATAAGCGTGGAGAGAGCCAAGTGGTTATGATGGCGAAGACAATGGGCGCCACTGGACGCCACCGAGTGAAAAAGGGGTGGGGCAGACAGGCAAGAAAGAGGCCACACTTCGTTTCATCATGGCTGGCTGGCTGCCTGCCTGCCTCTTTGCGGGCTGTAGCAGAGGAGTCAACAAAAGAAAATGAATGGAATTCAAGAAGAAGTTTCTAAAATGTTGAGGCTCGAGCAAGGTAAGCGACAAGTGGGTGATGATGAGATGTGCAGCTGTCACTGTTTCTCAATACGAAGGGTGCAGACCGGTCCAATGTTCATCCCGTCCTTGGATTGGAACCGTCCAACAGGATTTCCAGGCTGGCTGGTGGTGCTCAGTAAGCAGGCACCAGGAGAGATGAGCCGGAGGCCACCAACGCTGTTCGAGGTAAAGGACCTGGGTGAACTTTGTAACAGTCGGCACTGTATACTGCTATGCCACCTAGGTACGGAGTAAGGTTCCTGCATGTATCTTCCCCATCACCAAGGTACAGGTAGGCGGTCTATCCCTCCGCAATGCTCCATTCTTGGGAAGACTGCGGCAGGGATGGCAGGTGCTAGTGCTCGATCTTCATGTGCTTGGCACTGCAGTGTAGAATGAATGCAAGGGCAAAGCACAACTCTCTCTTCGGTGCTTTTAAAGAGCGTGTATGTATCCGTATGCGCAGCTCAGTCGCACCATGACTCGCATGGACCATGCCTGGGTCCCTTCGTAGTCTGATGAATTCACGTGCAAGACACTACCTAGACGCCTGTCTAGGTTCTCTAGTCTTAGGTACTTTAGAGCTGTAGGTTGTTCTGCATGCCTGTATGTCTGCGCGTCTTCCTCCCTAACTCAATACCCTATTCGTTCCCTCCGTGGCCTGTTGATTGCTGGCTGGTGTAGTGAACCCTACCTAAGCCTGCTTTGTTCCAGTTGCTTTGTCGTAGTAAAACACCAGCCGCCGCCGCCGCTTAGCGTACTTAACAGGCTGCAAGAGCCAAGTAATTAACACATGCCCTTGCAAGCTGAACCAAGACCAAAAGACTCTTGCGGCATGGATGCAAATTACGAATAAAGAAGCAACAAGACATATTCAGAAACTCCCCTTAAAATACACCAAGCCAAATCAAGATTTTGCTTCGTGCCAGTCTACGTTTTCAGCATCAGCTTCGGGCGCTGTATTTGGGTCAGCTCACTACCAAGATAGTTTCCTGCTGCCCCGGACTGGCAGAGACTTCGGCACTTGTGGACGATTTGCCGCCTTGCTTTGCTCCACTTAGATGCGGCTAACAATTTGCAGTCAAATTCTCGGAACCAACAGATTCAGCTTGTTTCTCATAGCCACGTCCTATTTCCTTCCTATTCATATCTCAAGAGGTTGAGCATCCAGCTCCGCTCTGCACCTCTCAGCATTCCTTTACATTCACTGGCATACCTGACTCCGTGCCATTCAAGCCTGACCGATTTTGCCGACTTTTCAGCCTTACACTCCCTCTCTTCATTGACTCCCTGCTTTCCCCGCCTGTTGCCGGCTTCAATGGTCCCCTCGTTCATTACTCATCACTTTCACCTTCGATTGCTGCTGAGGACTTCCTCTTCTTCAACTGACCTCTGTCTGTCCTAGATGGTTTCTTACGATACATGGGGCTACCTGAGCTTCCGACAATGTGCAACAGGAAAACAATTCGTCATATGTTTCCTCATGCATCCCGAAACCCCGATTTTCCTCCAATCGCATCACAGATCAAAGACAGGCAGGTACCTGATTCTCCGCCTGGTCTAGCATCTGTTTGCATCGTGATCCTCTGTCTCCCCCCATGTATATGGCTACTATCTCTTCAACCTTTTGGATCAGGGCAAAATACCTTCAATCCCTTTGGGTTCATCCAACATAACCTCGGACAGAGTTATAGTAACTCGACCGGCAGAGATTATTGTTCACTGATGTTAAATATCATTGTTGAATCGGGTTCCTCGAGTATTCATCATTCATAATCTCTTGAACATGCACATTAGTCTGTAAATGTCCCATATATTGCCCGCGCTCTGTTTGTCGACACTGTGCCTGCTTGATCAGCTGGATTACAAATCTGAGAATTGTAATTTGTCCTCCAACCTGATTCCAGAATTGGCGTTTTGTCATAAAGGAAGAAGCAGAAGCTGCACTATAAAATGTCCCGCTTACGGACTGAGACATCTTTCACTCAAGAACAAGTGTGAGGATCCGGACCTAACAGTTAATATACAGTGCTGTGCCAAGAACTCGAAAACTCACTGGTTGGTGATGTGGGCAATGACCCTCAATATAGAGACTCTCAGACTTTTCACGCGGTCCTATGTCATCCTTGGCCTTCCCAATCTGGTAGTTGACAGGCAACCATGAGATACTGACATCTCCTACACAGCCTGATAAAAGGAGACATACAGCCATTTCCTTTCTCACAAGCCCGAAAGACATCTTTGGATCCCCATGATTGTAACCAAGTGTTCTGACGCAATTGCCCTTGGTAATGAATACAATTCTTGTTTTAAAGCCAGATGTTTCGGATGTATCGGGTTTCGTGGCAAACAGTTATTTTTGTTAGCTCTCCCCCCGGATGTCCTTGCTTAGGGGAGCTTGTCTCGTCCATATGTTCATACCAACCTTCTCCCCGCTCGCTACCGGTAGCCCAGCGTGCAGATTCCGGTGGTCTCCGGAGCCGTCGATAAGTAGGTTTTCCCAATAAACAAAATTGCCCTCTATGGGCCGGAATGTGATGCCGTTCTCCCAAGGTTCATCACAGTCAATAAGTGTGCACCATCGATTGTCGTTCGGTGCGTCAAGCATGGGGAAGTTGGTTCCTCCGCCGGTAACGTTAGCCGCAGAAACGTAGCCGAAGAACGAAGAAAGCCGGTTGCCGCCAAGATGAGCCTTGGTGTGGGCGGGGTCGGTGAACCAGTCCGTATGGAAATGATATCGCTCGCCTTTTCCATACTTGACCAGTTGGAGTGGCTCCAGATGGGTCTTTGGCATGCTGTAGCCTTGGAAGGCTACGGCGCGCTCCTCAATACACCGTACCACGTCGTCCCGCCAGAGGCTCGTGCTATGCGATGTGCGCACGTTGTGTGTGGTTTTACCGCCGGATGCATCAATAACACCCGAATGGGTAAATGTTCCACTGCTACTAGAATATGAGCCGAAATGCTTTCTGGTGCCGGTTTTGGAGCAACTCACGCCATGTTCAGGAGATGACCCCTCTCCATCGGTGTTATGAAGTCGGCAAGGTAAATGACTAAAGGCGACTTCGAAACGACGTGGACTTTGTAGGGTGGGTGGGTGCATACGTAGTCGGCTATCGGCTTCTGATCTTTTGCTATTGATCCGGTTATCATGGTTGCCAATAGGGCGTAGGTTGTTGCTGCGAGGATGCCCATCTTCTCGGTCGTGCAGATGGTGAAGCGAAATTCAGAACAGAGCATGCACCTAGTCGGGCCTTGGGAGACGTTCGACTTTTGAATATTTGCTTACGCTACAAAGCATTTAACTGAATGGACGCCTCGCTTGTAGGGCGATGAAACTCAGTGCGTTTGACTAGAAAGTTGGCTGCCCGATATCATATCCTTTAGAAGGCTCCGACACCCACTTCAGGGGCTTCCTTGTCTGATCTGCGGGGCACCAGACGCGACAAGCCCGCAATGAGGGGGGCGTTAGCAACGCTGGCTCACTACCACAAGAAGCGGCTACAAGCTATGTATCTCCACAGGGCTCTTATTGAACGTCGTCTTTAACGGATGTGGTGTGCTTTTTACGCGTGCTTCGGCGAATTTGCTGCCAAGTGTAAATTCTGGCAGTGGAATTGCAAGTTGCGAGACTTATTGAAAGACTTGAAATGTTTCCGGATGTCTTCCTGAATATCTACACTTTTTGAGCCCAAACGAAACAACACTTCTTCGGTAATTACCCTCCGTGAACAAGCAGCCATGCCTCCGCTTCATACTTGGCCCTGCGTACAAGATCTGGCGGCAAACCCAAGTCGATGGCAGATTGACAAAACAAGTAGTCGCTTACAAGCTGACTTTGCATGATCCTAAATGTATGTCTTGTACTTAGGGGTCATAGGGCCCGGTCGCTCTGCGTCCAGAGAGTAGCTCGGCATCGCCAGACTCTTTGACTAGATATATGTCTTCGTGCCTGACACCGAACCGGTTTTCCAGGTAGATCCCAGGCTCGTTTGTGAAAGTCATTCCAGGCTGAAGCAGGATGTCCTTATTCCACTTATTCAAGTACGGTGATTCGTGAGCTGCATCAGTTTAGCCTCCACACTTCTCAATAAGACACGCTAGGAAGAGATATATACCTTTGATGCCAATTCCATGACCCAGACGATGTGTGAAACCGTAACCGTATCCAGCATCCTCTATAACTTTTCGAGCCGCAATGTCTACACTTGCTGCTGTCTTGTTCGGTTTGAAAGCCGTAGCGGCAGCAGACTGGGCATCCAAGACGATATCCCAGACCTTGAGCTTTTCAGCACGCAGCTCAGAATTATGGCCGAATGACGTTTCATCTTTTAGACCTTTTCCGAGCAACTGCATGATGAGATCTAGCGTAGATGGTTCTCGCGGCTTTGGCGGGTCAATGAAGAAGCTACGGCAGATATCAGAGCTGTAGCCCAGGTAGTGAGCGCCAACATCGATGACGACCATGCTTTCGGGGGTCAGTTTCTTCCACCCGGTAACAAACCCACCATGTGGGAGTGCACCGTGTTCTTCAAATAGAACAATGTTGAAAAAAAGCCCGAAGTTGATGGATAGCAAAGCCGAGTTCAGAATTTCAGCTACCTCATTCTCCGTCAGACCAGGAACCAGACACGGACGCATCGCTCGGACAGCAACAACAGTGCCAGTGTTAACGGCGCGGAGAAGTTCGACTTCTGCTGGACTCTTCTGCTGTCGAACAAGCTCGACTTCGGGATTAAGGCCAACGGTCGTAAAGCCAGCCGTCTCCAGTCCACGGACAATGAAGTCTCGGATCTCTTCATCAACCATGACCTTTGCGGGTCTATCATTGAAAACGTGCGACTTGAGCAATGTGTCGTATGGATTCCAGTGCTCTTCCCATATGACGATATCTAGTTCTTCCTCGCGGGAGGGTATTCCTAGCATTCGAACTCGACCTTCCTCAAAATGGGGTGATAGAAAAGCCGTCTTGGCACTGACAATGCCCGAAGAAGAGACCTGAGGCAAAATAAGCATGAGGAATGGTCTCTCCTCTGGCTCCCAGGGTTCCCAGTCAGTTTGGGAAATATTGCCATAATACCTGACCAAACGTTAATTAGACTAGCAACAACAAGGCCGACATATTAATGTCCAAACTCACTGAAAAGTGTAACCTGGTTCCAACACAAAAGCATCCACATTTGACGCAGCCAAAGCACGAGCTAGCCGATCTCTACGTGCAATAAACTCCTCCGCATTAATTGGCACAGCGGAGTCTAAGAAGGATAGATCAGAGTGGAGGTTGCGAATAGCGCATTCCTGGGCCTTGTCGTAGACATTAGATATAGTTGTCTGGCTGTAGAAAGAAGTGAGGTAGTAGAAAGAGGTAGCGGCACATAGCAGAAATGAGGTTGCAATAAGTCGAAGAACGCGACCACATCGTCTACCATGATGTTGCTGATATGGTATAGAAGACACGCCTTGAGGGCCTTTCTCCAAGCCTGACATCTTAATCGTCGAGAGCCAGTCTTCTGAAGAAACACCTTCGCGAGAATTGAAATCCAAGAAAGAAGTGCCAGCAAGGGATGCTTCGCCGAAAAACAGGAGGTCGGAGTCCTCCGATCTCGCCCCAAACCCCTCTTCGGCGGGGGCAGCGAATGGAAATCAGTGACCGAATTGGGGTTGTCTTCTCCACGCGAGTCACGCCAGTATTACAGGGGCATCAGGTAGCGCGAGCACCTAGTTGCACTCGACATGGGTGTTGATAGCACCAAGTACTTTTGAGAGGTACAGTTTCAACGCTGGGCCGGAGAAGATAAGAGACTGGCCGCGGCATAGGCAGTAGATATGAAATTGCCGATGAATCGGGACGCCGGGGCTAAGTCAAACAATTGCTGTCTATATTCCTGGGTATAAGAGGCAGGATCGTCTCAATCTACAGATGCGGAGTTAGTTCCTGCGCACTTCCTCGTCACCCCTTCCACGGGAGCCCGACTTCGCGTAAGACGAGAATTGGAAATGGCTTCGACACAAGATGTCAATACGGTAGTCGCTACACCGGATTTTATTACCGGGGATGACGATATTGGCATTGATGCAAAGGGGGCAAACTGCGATACCCTGAAAGAGGGGGCGTCAGACGTTAATGAAGAACAAACGCCAAAATCATACTACAGCAGTGTTTCCGTATGGCTCATGGTTCTGTTTTCTGGTCTCGCGATCGGGTCCGACGGCTAGTATGACTACAACCCACAAGTCTGCATCCGTTTGGAACGCATGCCGTTCGTCATGGCGTTGCTGACAGCCTCTTGTTTGTAGCAATGCCGCCGTAATCGGCAATGTCGAACTGCTGCTCGCCATTCTTTACCCTGACGATCTGACGACATCCATTTATCAGAGACTTTCGAATGCTTTTCTGATTGGTATGATTATTGGCATGATTCTTTTCGGCGTTATCAGCGATCAGCTTGGCCGCAAGACTGGTGCCATTGCGACGACAATTCTGCTGGTGCTTGGAATCGCTCTCTCTACCGCGGCAAATGGACACACCGCTACCGGCATGTTCTGGATGCTTATCATTGCCCGTGGCATTGCTGGAGTTGGTGCAGGAGGAGAGTATCCAGTGTCTGGCGCTGGTGCAGCCGAGGCAACCGATGAAGATGCCAAGTATCGCAAGAGACGAGGGTTTATGTTCGCCATGCTTGCAGATTTGTCGGCCAGTCTAGGCTACGTTTGGGGAGGCTTGGTTCCGTTACTCTTGCTTCTATGCGCAGGTCAGAATGTTTCTCGGTATCATATCGTCTGGCGAACTTCTTTTGCGTTGGGTATGGCGCCCCCCCTTCTTATCTTTTGGTTCAGAATGCGCATGGCAGTTTCTACAGCCTATCGCAAGTCTGCATTGCGAAAACAGAAGGTGCCTTATTGGCTGGCCTTCAAGAGATACTGGCGACCACTACTTGGTGCTGCTTCAACATGGTTTCTGTACAACTGGATCAGCATTCCTTTTGGGATATTCAGCTCAACGATCATTTCAAGGGCCAATGTTGAAGATAACCTCGTCCAAACTCTGGGATGGGGCGTTGTAATCAACTGCTTCTACATCCCTGGGCCTTTCATAGGAGGCTATCTTTCCGACAAAATCGGCAGACGTCAAACAATGGCTCTAGGATTCACATTGCAAGCCCTCCTCGGTTTTGTTCTCGGGGGTGCGATGAATCCCATCCAAGGCGTTTTCCCGTTGTTCGTCGTTCTGTACGGTATCTTTTTGACCCTCGGTGAAGTCGGGCCTGGAAGGTATGTTAATCATCACTGAACGACGTTTTAACCAATTTCTGAACTTGTTTCTAGCACTGTTGTTCTCATCGCCTCTGAGTCCTTTCCAACATCCATCCGTGGTCAGATGATGGGCCTTATCTCTGCCTTTTCAAAGGCAGGAGCTGCTATTGGAACACAGGTGATTATGAATGCCATCGCACCTTCAGACCACCTGATCTGATAAGGAAATAGGTTTTTACAGCAATACTTAACAGGTATACTTCGAACGCTTCGAAAGGTAACCAAGTCGCCTTTTTGATTGGATCAGGGTTCGCCGTCTTGGGAGCCCTCATTGCCATGTTGGTCATACCAGATACATCTAGATATTTAGATGACGACGACGAAGCTTGGAAGCAGTACCTCGCAGATAACGGCTGGGATGCACAATGGGGCGATGAGATAACGCGTGATCCTTCCGGGGTAGTCATGAACAAAGCAGCATCTTAACGGACGGCTGTACTTGTGAGTATTAAGGCTGCGAAGACGTTCATTTGGTCGCCCAGACAATTGCAAGGTTACGGAATGTATATATCCAAAATTAAGCAGTTTCATACATGGCTTTGCACCATCCTTTTGCAACCCAGTCTACCACAAATAATAGAATGCTTTATACAGCATCTTAATCGACCTCTATAGTAGCTAAACTGCTCTTGCTTTCATGTTTTGTAAGTTATAGAAGTTTTGAGGTCGTGCGAATGGTGTGTAACATGCCGAATTTCCTCCACAAAGTGCTACAGTCTACTCGGCAACTGGGCAATGATCATAGTTTCCGTCAGCATTGTTGCCCCACCAAGTCAGAAAAGGAACAGATGGACCACCAGCTCCAAATACAGCAAAAGATAGTATAAATATGTCAGAGGTGTTACAGTACTAAGTAGAGGAGTCTATAAATAGCGTAGTTAAGGGTTAATTATAACTATTTTCTAATCTACCTTCTCTTAATTCTCTTGTTCCTATAAACTCTACTTTTATATAACCTTTAGATAATAGTTTTCCTAGTTGTAGCCCTATAGCTAGTAGTCCCCTAGTGCCTTCTACCTTTAGCACTTAATATAATCTTTCCCCCTTAAGGTCTTGTCCTTAGGACCTTAAGTAGTACTTTAGTAGGCCCCTAGGGCTTTACTACTAGCTAGTATCTTAGAGGTGTCTAAAAACACTTCTAGGCTTAGTAGGTTACTAGGTAAACAGCTATCTCTTTAGCTAGCTAATTACTTTTAACTTTACCTTTATAGCTATTATAGTTTAACTAGGCTAAGACTATTACCTTTTTAAGGTTATAGTTATTCTTAGCTAGGTTATAAGCCTTTATTACTTAACTAGCTTTACTAGGAGTTACTTACTTTATAATAAGGATATTTTATTTACTTATAATACTTTTATTATTTTTTTATTTTTTTAACTATAATACTCCCTTAAGTACTATATACCTTTAGTAGGCCTTTATTATATAGTTACTTCTTTTATTACTTTTATTTTCTTATAGCCTAAGCCTTAAGTTATATTACTTTTATAATAAAAAAAAGCCTTTATTTTACCTTTTAGTAGACTATACTAGTAACCCTCTAGGTCTTATTTTTTTTTTTTTTTTTTACTATTTTCTTTTTACTTTATAAGCTTAAGATACTATTATAACTTACTTTATTATTTTTACTTAGCTTAATTAGGTAACCTTTTTAGCTTTACTTTTTTTTTAATTTTTTTATTTTTAATTTTTTTTTTTTTTTTTAATAGTTTTACTTTATTATTTTTTTTATTTTTTTTATCTTATTACTACTACTACTATTACTACTACTACTTAGTAGTAATAGTAATAATAATAGTACTAGTATTAGTACTAGCTTCTTTACTACTACTATATTTTTTTTTACTTTTACTAATACTTTTACTAATAATACTACTACTACTACTACTAGCCTTATTACTACTAGTTTTACTAACTAAGGTAGTTTTATTAGCCTCTTAGTGCTTTTTTTTACTTTACTTACCCCTTATTACCCTTATACCTATATTAAAAAAGATAAGCTTATTTATAATATACTTTATAACTACTATATTTACTAGATAACTAACTAGTGTCTTAGTATATTAAGTACTTATACTATTACTTTTTTTTACTATATAAAGACTACTTATATACTTTTTTTTATACTTAGTACCTCTCTAGTGTTTTTTTTTTAGTACTTTAGCTAATATATTTTAGTTATTAGTAATAAGTATACTTATTATACTACTATATATAGTAAGCCTTATATCCTAGTATATTTACTTTTATTTTATTATTTTATAACTTTTAGTAGCTACTAACTTTTTAAATAGGCTACTTATACTATTACTATAGCTAGTATTAAGCTATACTACCTCTTTAAGGCTATAAACTATTTTACTAAGCCTACTTATATCTACTATAGTATTACTATATATTTACTTTCTCTAGTGCCTCCTTAGTAACCTCTTATACTAACGTTAACCTAGGACAAGATTAATAAGGCCTAGGTTATAGCTAAGAAAGCGCTTTAGCGCTAGGTTAACCTAGCTAAGGCCTCTAATACTAAGTATAAGACTAAGGCTAAAAAAAGAAGTAGCTTCTTTACTAGCACTATATTATAGCCTTTAAGACTATTATTAACTTCTTTTACTACTAAGTTAAGCTAGCTAAGTCTATACTTTATACTACTAAAGTTACTACTATAGCCTTTAAGGCCTAGACTATTACTCTCTAGGAGTAGACTACTACTATTATAGCTTAGACTACCCTCTTTTTAGAGTAGTCCTAGACTTACTCCTAGGTTATAAGTGTTCTCTTTAATACTCCCCTAGTGTTCTCCTAGTACCTCTTATACTAGTTACTAACTTTTCTTTAGTATACTAGTAAACTTAACTCTAAGGCTAATAAAAATAAAAGTAGTACCTTTATATTCTTTATATTTTTTACTTATAATAATAATAATAATAATAATAAAAATATTAGTAATAGTAATTTAGAGAATAATAAGTAAAGTAGTAAGTAAGCTTTATTATTACTACCCTTAGTGCCTTTTTAGCCTCTTTTTTAGTTTATTTTCTTTTACTTATTATACTTTTTAAATACTTAGCCCTTAGGCTACCTATATTCTTTAGCCTTAGTACTATAATAATTAAATCTTTAATTTAGTTATCTTTAGGCTAATCTTTACTTTACTTAGTTATACTTTTGTTTTCTCCTAGTGACCTCTTACTTATAGTTATATTATAATCTTTTTATAATATTCCTCTAAGGTTCTTAAGAGTTTTTTTCTTTACTATACCTCTTTTACTTAATAAGGTACTACTAATTTTACTATAG